TTATTATTATTATTTGTATACACTATTATTATTGTTATTATTATTATATACACTATTATTATTATTGTTATTTTATTAATATTATTATTATATACACTATTGTTATTATTATTATTATTATATACACTATTATTATTATTGTTATTATTATTATATACACTATTATTATTATTATTATTGTTATTATATACACTATTATTATTATTATTATATACACTATTATTATTGTTATTATTATTATATACACTATTATTATTATTGTTATTATTATTAATATTATTATTATATACACTATTGTTATTATTATTATTGTTATTATTATTATTATTATTTATACACTATTATTATTATTATTATATACACTATTATTATTGTTATTATTATTATATACACTATTATTATTATTGTTATTATTATTAATATTATTATTATATACACTATTGTTATTATTATTATTGTTATTATTATTATTATTATATACACTATTATTATTATTATATACACTATTGTGTATACACACACACACACACACACGTGGGAGACCAAAACATTGCAAAATGGAGGACGAAACAGCAACCTCCTCACAGAATTCCCAATAAAAGCCCCAATAAAAGACAAAGTCCTCAAAAAAACAGCTCGCCCTGAATCATTGAAGGTTTGGGAATACTTCAGATTCAGTCCCAAACGTAAAGGTGTGGTTATTGGCGCTCTTTGCTGTGGTGCTGGTGTGGTATACCAACTCCATTTGGCAGTGTGGGAGCATCTGTGGCGGCGGCGCCCCGTTGTCGCTCGTGGAGGAGACGGTGGCGGGTGGGTGCTGCCGTTGGCTGGGTTGGTTTCATGTTTGTGTGGTGTGTTGTGTGGCTCGGGCTCTGCACACTTCGGTGGTGCTGGCCGGCTGTCTTGGCTCTCCGTGCGGTTTGTTCGTGCTAACTCACGTTAATCTTCCAATTAGTCGTTAGATTAGTCGACTAATCGATAAAATAATCGTCCGATTAATCGTTTAATAAATAATCGTTTACCCCCAGCCCTAGTTACAGATATCAGAAAGATGCCACAATGAGACGAATATGCAAAAAGGTGCGAGTTATAACGGTCCAAAAAAAGAATAATAAACAAAATAAAGCGTGAAGATAGAAGCAATAACACAATCATATAAATGTACCATTATTGACTGATAATTATGATGCAGCTCTACCTGTAGGAGCTATCTCTAGAAGTGTATCTAGAGCCACGTTCGTCCAGTAGTCGTCGCCTTCGTGCTTCAGGTCCCTTTTTATTGTAGGTAGGAAACTCAGCGAGCAGGTGTTGCTGGACGGAGCTATGCTAGCCAACGCAACAGGTGATCGCATTTGTTAATAATGTTGACTGTACGGAGATTATGGACAATGGTTGTGGATTCTCAACACTCTGACAGGCTTAACCTCTTATACACAACTTTACACTTTAAACAAATAGGTTGCTTTTTAACAGCAGTATTTCCTTTATACAGTAACAGTTAAAATAATTCTTGCACTATCTGTGCTCAGTGTGCTGACTTTATTTGAAACGTTCCACTGTTGTGCAAACAAAATGTCTGTTTTCATTAGTCTCCCACTGTCCATCAATATAATGCACTGTAACTCCGAGGTAACTGTGGTTACCCAGCAATGTCCAGTAGTCTCCAGTGTGAGCAACAGTTGGTGTACGTTGTAACGCCGTCGCTTTTGTAGTCCTCTCCTTTTCATACAACTCGTACATTCGTCTTGTGATGGTGTGTCTTGAGGGAGGCTCATAGTGCCGTCATTGGTTGCGATCCTATCTTCCACAATACTAATCGTCCTGCAGTTTCAAGCTATCCACTTCGCTGTGGCATTTGTTAGCTTGTCTTGCTTTTGTTTATCTATACTTCTCCCACAAGCAGCCTCCAATGTAGTCTGCCGAAGCCTCCCTCTACTCCCCTCCTGTGACCCATGGTTTGTCTGGATGTGTATTCAGAGCCAGTGAGCAACGGATTTTCAAAATGACAATAAATAAAATAAAATAGTTAAAAAAACTGCATTAATGCGAGATAAAATAATAGTCGGCGTTAAATAGTTAATGCGTTAACTTGATAATAACGTGCTTACTTGCCCAGCCCTAAAGAAAAATACATAAAACAAATGCCCAACCCTCCACACACACAAGCTCAAATAAAACAATGCACATTATTGTATGAAAACTTGAATATCATCAGCAAAGAAGTTTATTTTAACCAGTGGGTTTACAACATGAGCTCGGGAGTTGCAGCTGTCATTTTATGGAATTTCTGCTCTCACAAATGCTTGTAGTTTTAGTTTGGATGATTTCCAAATATGTGACATTAATAAAAGTGATGGTGTCAGTGGTTGAATGTTAACAGGAGGTTAGTTTTCTTAAACGTCTGAATGTATTTCATTATTCTCCACAGACATCCAGCAGCTGTTGGTGAGTAAAGAAGAAGTTCCCACTGAGCAGCAGGAGTGGAGCCCCAGTCTGGACCAGGAGGACCCACCAGAGCTGCCACACATTAAAGAGGAAGAGGAGGAACACTGGATCAGTCAGGAGGGAGAGCAGCATCGAGGGCTTGAGGAGGCTGATATCATCAAGTTCACATTCACTCCTGTCCCTGTAAAGAGTGAAGAGGATGATGAAGAGAAACCTCAGTCCTCAATATGTAAATATAGCCGCTGTTACAAGAACACCTGAATGAAAACAAAATAAAGCTAATTTGAATGGAGTGTGTTTTAAGATAAGTTAACAAAGCAATTAAGCTGATGTGCAAATATATTGGCAATCGCTGGTTGTTGGACTGACGATTATATTGCTCATCTCTGCACTGTGCTGATTAAATCAACAAATAGTAGACTCTTCACATTAAACCGTCGGTGTACTGATATTATCACTTTCAAACAGTTAACATTCAACATTTCTCCACACATTGAATAAATTTGTTTTCTAAAACATCTGTATGCATTTCATTATTCTCCACAGACGGCCAGCTGCTGTCGGTGAGTAAAGAAGAGGTCCCCCCTGAGCAGCAGGAGTGGAGCCCCAGTCTGGACCAGGAGGATCCACAAGAGCTGCCACACATTAAAGAGGAAGAGGAGGAACTCTGGATCAGTCAGGAGAGAGAGCAGCTTGAAGGGCTGCAGGAGGCTGATATCATCAAGTTCACATTCACTCCTGTCCCTGTAAAGAGTGAAGAGGATGATGAAGAAGAGACACCTCAGTCCTCACAGCTTCATCAGAACCAGACTGAAGAGAACAGAGATGAATATTTTAAAACAGAAGCTGATGGAGAGGACTGTGGAGAAACAGAACCAGACCAGTACTTTAGTCCAGAACGTCATTTACAACCAGATACTGATGATGAGACGTCACACTCTGAACCTGACACTGATGACAGCTGTGATTGGCAGGACGTCAGAGAACCTGAGTTTGGTTTAATCGATCTGCAAGACAATGAAGAACATGAAAGAGATGTGGAATGTAACACTGGAAGAACACCAGTTAGCTCCTCTGAATGTGCTACAAACTGCGGCCACGAGGGACATCTGCACAAACACAATGGAGTCCAAACAGGAGTGAAACCATTCAGGTGCTCAGTTTGTGGTAAAAGATACTCCTGGAAGAAATCCTTAACGGATCACATGAAACTTCATTCAGAAGAACTTTTCAGCTGCTCAGTTTGTAAAAAAACGTTTAAATGGAGAAGAAATATCGTGAGGCACATGAGAATCCACACAGGAGAGAAACCATTCAGTTGCTCCATCTGTGGTCTCAGATTCACACAAAGCTCAGCCGTGACCAAACACTTAAGAGTTCATACAGGAGAAAAACCTTTCTCATGCTCAGTTTGTAAAGCAAGTTTCAAAGACAGACACAATTTGCTTAAACACACAAAACTGCATACTGGGGAGAAACCATTTAGTTGTTCAGTTTGTGGTAAAAGATTTGCACAAAAGACACATCTGAGACGTCACTTGAACGTCCACACAGGGGAGAAACCCTTCAGTTGTTCAGTTTGTGGTAAAGACTTTACGCAAAAGACACATCTTAGACAGCACTTGACTGTTCACACAGGGGAGAAACCCTTCAGTTGTTCAGTTTGTGGCAAAAGATTCGCACAACGGGGAACAATGAAAGAACACTTGTCCGTCCACACAGGGGAGAAACCATTCAGTTGCAATGTTTGTAGTAAAAGATTCACTAAGCTCTCTTATATCAAAAAACACAAGTGTGTTGGTGAGAGCAGCATCAATAAATGAAGCTACAATCCAATTTCTACCAGCAGGATTGAAGTACTGAGGGTGAGACTTGGCTCAACAGTGATCAGTTTGAAACTGTGATATAGACTCCAAAATAATATCTTTTCATCTGAGATGAAGCCACTTAATCATTATAATTGTTTTTGTTTGTGTGTACGTTATTAATTATGTTTTGGCATTACATATATAATATATGTATCAATTGATTTAGAATGTATTTAGTAGTTTCATGTAACTTAGACAGCACTATAGTTAACATTTGTTGCTTGAAACTATGATTTAGAAATTAAATGACTTCACTTTAACTGTTAACTAAAAACTTAAGATTTTTAAGAAAATCACAAAATGGCGGGAAATACAAGAGCTGCCGATTCTCTACGGCACTAAATAGAAGGATTGCACTTTTCTAGCCCTTTCTAGTCTTCTGACCTCTCAAAGCTCTTTACACTACCTGTTAAACTCACTCACTAATGGCACAGCTGCACCATGCACGGTACCAACTGCTCACCAGAAACTAATCCAGTTCACAAACTGATGGCTCGCATGGGGAGAACTGGGTTCAGTATCTTGATCAAGGACATTTCGACACGCGGTGGGAGGAGCCGAGGATCAAACCGCCAACCTTACCTCTCAGGCTCTGAGTACACTGCTGATTGTGCCACGATCACCTACCGGAGGAGGCTGTTATGTGTCGTGAGAAGGAAGGACTTGTATGCAGGACTGTATCTCACAGTCAGCACTGACAAAGACATGTAAGTTAATTGTCTCTGAGAGCTGCTGCTGTCTCTCAGTCTCTGGTCGGAGGTAGCTTGTCTAAATCTCTTGCCCTCTACGACACTGACTGGCAGCATATGTGACCAGTGCGAATAAAGCTGTCGGGACCGACGTGTAACCAGACAGAAATATTCTCGTAACTGATTTTAACCACAGACATCCCTGTACTTGACCTTCTTCCCATTAACACTACTTATTCCTAATTCAATGGACTCTTCTGCTCTTGACTTAATCTCTCATTATGTGTAAAACATTAGCAGTTGATTCTTTAACTGCTCAAACTGTCTGAAATATGCTTGACAACCTTGGATTTAGCCTAATCTCTGAGTTCTTATATCTCACCTATGAGACCCAAAGTTTGAAGTTTCATGAGTTTCATCCAACTTGATTAATGGATATAACTGGGTATCATCTTCATAACAATGAATGCTAATGGAGTGATTCTTAGTTATGTTGCTTAACAGAAGTATATATAAGGTGAATAGAATCTGTCCAAGCACAAAACCTTGTGGAACTCCATGACTAACTTTAGTATTTATGGAGGATTAATTGTTAACGTGTAAAAACTGAGATCAGTCTGATAAATAAGACTTAAACCATCTTAGTGTGATTGCTTTCATGCTTCAAATTAGATTAATTATACTAACTTAACTTAAGTATTTCAAAGATGAACACACTGTTAACGGGAGGCACTACCAAGGAAAAACCTATATTTGGACCCTCTCTTACTCTCACTGATATCATTAAAAATGTATTATTTTTATTATATATGTGATATTGTACCACACAAATTCAACCAAAATTGAGCAAAATCTTTTTGAGTGATTCCACAATTTTTGGCACAACCATGAATCATTGAGTATGTTTAAAAAAGCCTTATTTCTTCTGAGTAAACATATCTTATCCAAATGTGTTTTGCGGTGTTAACTACGGAGGAAAAAAATAAACGGTCAGTATTTCTCACTGTATCGATGCAGAATCATTAAAGATGATAAGTGCAGATTCTCATAGGCTGATTTTAGTTAAAAAACAGTTTAGATTTTATGCTGCACACAGTACGAGTCTGTGAGAGTGAAAGTAGTTGGTTACCAGGTTGAGGTTGGAGGTGTGCAGCTGCTCTTTCATTAATTAATTTAATTAATTACGTTCAATATTACATTCTGTACTAATCTCACTGAGAAACATTTCCTGTGACGACTTCATACTAAAAGTCAACTTGTATTTGGCCAGTTAAATGTTTTAATGTAGAAATGTGTGTCTACAGTTATTCTGGTGTTTTCTCTGCAGCTAGCTAAGAAAAAATAAGTTGTACCTCGTTGTCATGTCATAGCCTCGTTATATTCATCTTCAATAAAAATCTCAAATCTTAACCCTGCGATGTTGTCATTTCCCCCCTGTGGTATCAAAGAGAGCACATTAAAATAAACCACACTGTTTGTTTGGTTTATTTCTCTTTAATCATTATTGATAATATTTGATTATTACTTTAAACGTACCTAAAGCAGTCCAGAGACAGTATATTATAGTCTGTAAAAGAAGAATTGGCACGGAAGTAAATGTAAATTAACATGCTAACTTTTCCTGGTATTTATCGCGTGAGATACAACCGGAGTGGACTGGTAGAGGATAAACTAGTTTCAGTTTTATGTAAAGTTTCAGGATGTTTCACCCCGGACTCATTTCCTGTTAGCTCTGAATGGTAACGGAAGTTAGCGCAGCATGCTCACCGGAAGTAGCCAGAGCCCGGCCTCAGAGCACCAGTTGGAGCTTCAATAGAGACCAAACTGTCCAAAATAAAATGAGTCAAACTTAACTTTGTGCTGAAATTGCGGTCCTCTCTTAAAAGCACAGTAAGATGTAGAAATATATTCATAATTAATTATTTGTAAGGATTAAATCAATTAGAATTACACAGTCATCACCAATAAATATTCAGTTTCAAACTGTAACATTAAGCCACTTTTAACATGAATTCCATATTTGTTTTAGATTTGATTTTCTTATTTGTAAAGAACATAACTAGTTTTTTTCCACGAGAACTTAAAAGCCCATTCTGTTCCCCATCCTTCCATTTTATGTATCCCTTCCTGTAATTTCTTGCACATGGTCTCATCATCTGCAAAGAGAGAATAATGTAGACTTATATCGCCCCCCTGTGTCTGGTTGTATGTTATGGTAACGCATGTGATATGTATCGGACAAAGTTATTCTATTAGCTACAGTAAGAAAACATCCGGCACCCCTTATTCTTATTTACTTTTATTTTTATAAAATTGGTGACATTTTGTAATTTAACTGTGAAGACTTTTGTGTTCATATTAAGATTCTGAGCTCTTAATTATTTGGTCTATTTCAATTAACGTCTTGTTTTTATGTTTTCCTTAGTGATTCATGTCTTTCCCATTTTCATCTTTTTCTTTTTCTTCTGAAAACTTTCGGATTTCTTGTAAATGGCACTTATGAGATACACATTTTAAGTTGAACTGTCCAAAAATGTTTTCCACTGGTTGTGATTCCTCTGTCAGTCACTGCTGGATGAAGCTCTCCTCTCCACTCTACCTCCCAGTAACATGGCCCAGTCAGAGCTGATGCTGCTGCTTCAACCTCTCTGGATCATCAGGACACAGCGGATCCTCCAACACAACCTCCTTCATCACCGCTCACTGTTAATAAAACAACTTCCATCTGAGGAGAGAAGGAGACAGAGGACAGCAGAGATAAATCAGTGTTTACAGAGACTCCCTCCATCAGCACATCCAGTATAAAGAGCAGCAGGGACTTCAGTCCAGTTCAGACCAGCAGTGGAGCGGCTGTGTAGCGTAGCCTGCTTCCTTTCAGCTCTCATGGTAACGTATTGGAGTAAAAACACTGAGCTGAAGCTCACAGACCTGCAGACGCTGAATTACACAAATTTCACTGAAGTACACAGTGGAAATAAAGTGCTGAGAGTCCCTGAATGCATCATTACTGCAGAAACAGAGAGACATTCAGTGCCCACTGGAATGATGCATTTACTGCTGTTAAAAACTGAGGAAAGCAGCAAATACTCAATCTGTGTTCAGGCCATTACTGCTGGAACCAGCATGGACTGACTCAGACCCTCTACTGACCTCAGAGTCTCCAGTCTACAGTGTGGACTCTTCACAAGATCAGACAGCAGCTTCACATCTGAATCCTTCAGCTTGTTGTTCCTCAGGTCCAGCTCTCTCAGATGGGAGGGGTTGGACTTCAGAGCTGAGACCAGAGAGGAACAGCTGATCTCTGAATAATCAATATCTGAATAAAAAAATAAAAGATGAGGATAAAAATAATGTATAATACAATCAGATGCGTTCAGGTTTCCAATGTGGAGCTCAACATTACTATGTCCTAATCAATGAGGGTTTCTCTAAGATGAGGATGTTATTGTGGATCATCATAATGTCAGCCTTCTACAGACATCATCCAAATGTCAGCACAACATTCATACACCTATTCATGTCAGCACTGATCAGTAACATGCTGCTGATCTCAGTCCATATAATTATTAAATCAGACGTTTTTATTTTATTTTCAATCTCTTCAGTTTCAATTGTGTCATTTTATAAAAAATAATGAGACCGATGTTTGCTATAGATTTATAAAATGTCCGATATGAAATAAATAATAATTTAAGGAAATACAAAACTTTACAAACCTCTTCAACACCTGTTGCAGCACTTTTGATGCAGATTTAGTTCCCAACCTGTTTAAGGGACCCACTTTCTATCATTTAGTAAACTATAATAGTGAACTCTTTGTGCAGATTATTTCCTGTTTAGGGAACTTTTTATACAATTCTCTGTATGTATTGACCCCCCATAAAGCTTTGGCGACCCCCAGTGGGGGTCTTCACCTTCAGGTTGGGAACCACAGATTTAGACTATCCTCATCACCACTGTCATCTCCATCAATACTGGATCTAATTCAAAGGTCTCATTTGACCCTACATCAATCTTTCTATATTATCAGGATATGTACCACAATCTTTTAAAGTAGCTGTAGGTAAACCCCTTCTTCAAAAGCCCACTCTTGACCCAGGGGTTTTAGCCAACTATAGACCGATTTCTAACCTCCCCTTCCTCTCTAAGATTCTGGAGAAAGTAGTCGCCAAAGAGTTGTGTGACTTTCTACATAACAATAGTTTGAGGATTTTCAGTCAGGATTTAGAGTTCATCACAGCACAGAGACAGCTCTGGTTAAAGTTAATAATGACCTTCTGACTGCTTCTGACAATGGACTTGTCTCTGTACTTGTATTATTAGATCTTAGTGCTGCATTTGACACCATTGACCATGATATTCTTTTACAGAGACTTGAGCATCAAATTGGCATTAAAGGAACCGCACTAAGCTGGTTTAAGTCATATTTATCAGATCGTTCTCTGTTTGTATATGTTAACGATGAATCTTCAAAAAATACTATAGTTAGTCATGGAGTTCTACAAGGTTCTGTGCTTGAAACAATTCTATTTACTTTATATATGCTCCCTTTAGGCAACATTATTAGGAATCACTCCATTAACTTTCACTGTTATGCAGATAATACACAGTTATAAATCTATGAATCAAGCCCAGTGAATTGAATCAATTATCTAAATTACAAACATGTCTTAAGGACATAAAATCCTGGATGAGCTGCAATTTTCTGATGTTAAACTTAGAAAAAACTGAAATTCTTGTTCTTGGCCCCAAAAACCTTAGAGACTCATTGTCTAAAGATATAGTCACTCTAGATGGCATTAACTTGGCCTCTAGCACCACTGTCAGGAATCTTGGAGTTATCTTTGATCAGGATTTGTCATTTAACTCCCACATAAAGCAGACCTCTAGGACTGCCTTCTTTCATTTACGTAATATTAGAAAAATTAGACACATCCTATCACAGACAGATGCAGAAAAAACTAATCCATGCATTTGTTACTTCAAGGCTGGATTACTGCAACTCTTTATTATCAGGTTGCCCCAATAAGTCCATTAAAACGCTCCAATTAATTCAGAACGCTGCAGCACGAGTACTGACAGGAACTAGAAAAAGAGATCACATCTCTCCTGTACTAGCTTCTCTGCACTGGCTCCCTGTAAAATGTAGAATTGAATTTAAAATTCTTCTCCTCACCTATAAAGCTCTTCATGGTCAGGCCCCTTCATATCGTAAAGACAAAGAGCTAGTATAAAACTGAATCCCCAAGTATCAATCAGTGGAGGGACAGAGTTAAAGAAATAAATGACATGGAGAGGATGACCTCCGACCTGAGATACAGAGGAGCATCTTCTCCAGGAAATGGGAGAAATGGACTGGCTATATTAATGGATTAGAGGACGCTAAAAATTAAACAGGACGATTAAGGTCACAGTACAGGCTAGATTTCAATATTTATAACAAAGGTGCCCACACATTGCTTTTCCCACTTATTTTTTTTTTCTTTTTCTTCTGTTTTGTTTATTTGACTTCCTTTGTTTGTTTGTTGTTGTCTTGTTTCACTTTAACTTGAAAACACTAAATAAAAAGTAAAAGAATGTGATTGTTTCTTTTATTGCTGCTTTCTTGTACTTTTCCTTTTCGTCTGTCTTACTAAACATTTAGTGATCTGCCTGTACACTTCCTGCAGCTACTTCACAATAAAAGCCTTCCATTAAAGAGAGCTGATCATGTCCTACTGTTTTACAGTGACTCTGGGCTGCATAGATAGCGTTAGTTAACTCTAGAGGTTTAAAGGTTTGTACGAGTCCTTTTAGATTAGATCACAGGTCACAGATACTAAGAGGAAGATGGAACAGATGATTCCTCTTTGTGTCAGAAAAGATTTGTTACATTTTAGTCAGCGAATAGGTTTTGTTAGAAAGTTTAATATACAAACACAAAATCCACAGAAAACATGGCATCAGCAGACGTAACTGAAAACGAGTTCACTTACTTTGTGTCTGAGGGTCCAGGTTCATCATTGAACTTCAGAGGAGGATCTTTGGCCCAATCACGCTTCATAGACAGACAGCTGGACACTGCAGACTCTGCTCTGTCCTCCTCTTCCTCCACACAAACACTCATCTTCTGCTCTGAAGTCAGTCTGAGAGTCAAACATTAACACTGTTATATAAAAGTGTTAAAACGTCCAGAGAGCAGAGGAAGAATCTTGTGGCCTCACAAACTTCTTCACACTCAACAACTCAACCCTCTATCGCTACGAGGCAAACGGGTGAACATGTAAGCAAGGATCAGCAGCTCGCTTCGTGCAGGTAGCTGACAGCAACCGTGATGATGAAGATGGTGAAAGAATATATCAGGTTTGTCGTGTTTAAACGTGTGGTTGGATATTTCATACAGACTACAGTGGATTCATGTCATTTCTGCTGGATTGGATTTGATTTGGATTGGATTGGACAACCTGACAGCTGTTGGATGATCATTGATAAGTTGTTTCATATTCATTATCAGGCATTTTTGACTCTCTGGCCAAAGGTAGAGTTGTTTGTTGTGTGTTGTAGATCACATTGTCTGCTGGTTATTGTATCGATGGCAGGACTCAGATTGCTTGCAGACTTGCAGCCCAATTTGTTGTCATATGTAATGTGATCATATGGCTGTATGGTCTATCAGTGAATGTCAAATGCTGAATGCTCGCTAGTTTAGTCGATCTTATTATTATTTTTTATCTTTTATTTGATCATGGATCTGAAATGGTCAAACTTAAAGCTGTGACGGTTAAATATCAGCAGGTTGCTGTTAAATAATAAATCCATGTCATTGTCCATGGTGGTGAAATAGCACACTTCCTGAGTCATTGTTATCTGCATTCCTCTTTATTCTGCCCTCCCAGCCTATAGGTTGTCTATATGGCTTTACATTAGCACTTTCAAGGCCCCCCTCTACAATGTGACATCAGCTCTGTGCCTGCCTGAAATTATGACACAGAAGATTTCAGGGGTTTTCTAAAATATTGAAAATATGCGATTGAATGTTTTCTCAAAAGCCACAAACCTTTTAGGTTTAACATATCTTTAATTTAGTGTAATTTCCTCTCAGTCTGTCTGACTGAAAAACAAAGGTTCCATTAGTGGAGAAATATCGCCATCTATAGGTCCACTCTAACATTGTCATGAGGGGTTGTTCTCTTGTGTGTGTCGTGTTTCATTCAGTTGTGTTATGAACTGCACTAATAGTTCTGCATCATCTTTTAGCAGAACACACACACATTCAGTATACAGTCTAATAAAAGCAGTCAGAACTCTACCTGCTCTCTTTTCTTTCAGTCTGTGTGTTTTCTGGGTTACAGCAGGTTCACTGTGTATTATTCAGCCAATCAGCACTTTGTGTCCACAGATGAATCAAACTGTTGAGTTCATTCTAACATTTCTTTGGTCTACAGTCCACAGGGAGAAAACAAACTCAAACACTTTGACTGTAAAATAATAAAAATGTTGAATGAACACTCACCCTGCCGGTGTTCTTCCTTCTGCCGTCGACTCAAAATGAATGTCTGAAACGTTCACTCTTTCACCTGTTCTCATGAGCCTCGATAAAACGGTTGCTCCTCCCCTCCCCATTTACAGGAAATCAGGTTATCTGTGTGTGTGTGTGTGTGTGTGTGTGTGTGTGTGTGTGTGTGTGTGTGTGAAAATGAGATGAAAGTTAATCATGATACTCTTTTGAAACAGCAGAGGGCGATCTCTACTTTTGACTTTTCTTGTTCAACGTCGTACGTCACTCCGTATTTGTATGAAGGTGCAAAGACTACAGCTTTACTTTTACAGTGGAAAGAAAATGTGCAATTTTCGGTTTAAAACCAACCTCAGAAATAAAAAATTATATTTTTTTATTAATTTGATAAATAAATTATAATCCGTAGATTTCTGTCTGAGAAATAAAAGAACGTTTTTAACTCACAATTGGTCTTCAGTATCATTTTGTTAATTAAATTGCAATTGCAAATTTGAATTGTGGTCAGGTGAACTCCAACGTTTCGACCCTGAACCACAACGTCCTCCAGTTGGTCAGACGGTAAAACTTGATGAACTTGACAAATATGACAATGTTTGTAATTAGTGACATAATCAATTTTATTACAAAAATTTTATTTTTATCTGAATATTGTTGGATTATTTCTAAATCAAACATTGAACAGTGAACACAATAACTGCAGGAAGTTTTATACAATTGTCTTTCTTTATTATGTATTTTCTTTATTTTCAACCATCATACAGACTTAATAGGCTTCTTTTCATCCCCCCCAACACTCGACCATTGTTCTATTAGCTTAGTACTTTTCTAAGAGGAGGATGTTTAACAGAGAGTGAAACGTTCAGGACATCAAAGCTTAGATTTTATGTAATAATCAAAACTAAAAATAATTGTATTTAGTTTTCTCGTGTTGAGATATAGGCCGTTGTGGAGTTATTTTAGAGTTAAATATAAACTCCACTATGAACCACAGGAAATGTGTGTGTGTGTGTGTGTGTGTGTGTTCACCTTGTCTGGGTGTGTCCCTCTAAAAGCAGCAGGTACTGTCGCACTCTGGTCTCTGTCTCTGCTGGAAACACTTGAACCGTACAGGATGGATCTGTTCGCCTTTAAGACGCTTCTGTTTCTGCTCTCTTTTATTGGTAAGAAGAAATAAACTCTCTCACTGTCTGCTGAAGCTGCACATTGAGCTGGGATTTATATCATTTATGTATTTTTATTGATGTTACTGCGTTTCTACCGTCTGTGTGGGGAAACCTGGTTCTCTGTCGTTCAGATCAAATGTTTTCTCTGAACCAGAGTTAAGTATAAGTGTCGGATACTTTATGACTTTATGATTCAGGTAGTTTTATAATGTTGCAGTTCTGTTGAGGTCTGACTTTGTCCCTTCCTGCCCCTCAGGATGCTGTGCTGGGACTGACATCCTACCGACTGGTCCCGTGGACGCGATTTTGGGGAGAAATGTGACTCTAAAGACCCTGCTTGACAACCCAGAGTTCTCTTATCTGATCTGGAATTTCAACGGCGGGACTGAGGCAGTTCATATTGTCGTCGTGACTAAAACTGCGCTGAAAGTGAACCCAGATTACCAGGGAAGAGTGTCGGTTAACCGGACCAACGGATACCTGACCCTGGCGTCCCTGAAGGCGGATGATAGTGGAGATTATATCCTCACCTTGATAACAGAAACGGCTGATACTACAACCGGAGAGATAAAGCTCAGAGTTCTGGGTGAGTCATTTCTTTATTTCTAACTTTCCTTTGCCAAAATTGATGTTTACTTTATTTCAGTTCAATTCAATTTAATTCTTTTTTGTTTGTATAGCACCAAATCATAACATTGTTAAGTTATCTCGGGACACTTTTCAAGTACAGCAGTTCTAGAACGTACTCCTCATAAAATTATTTACAAAGACCCAACAGTTCCCACCATGAGTAAGCACTTGGGGACAGACCCTGGTTCTAGATGTGTGGCCGTCTCCCTGGACCGTTTGGGGTTATAGAGAGAAAGACAGAGACAGAAATGCATAGCAATAACAACCACTATAATAGTAGAAATAGGACTAATAAGAGTAATGGTGATAATAATAATATGACTAACAATAATGGACAAACCAAACTTTTCTCTGATCATTTTTTCTCCCACATTCAAGTCCATTAATTCAACAGTTCATTTATTTGTTCCTCATGCAAAATAACCTTACACTGGAGACAGAGCCGGTGTCTGATGTGGTCTTCACTACCAGCGTGCCCGAGGCAATCGAGCAGAATGACACTGTGGTTCTGACCTGCTCCGCCAAAGGCTCCTTCCTCAACTTCACCTGGCTCAACGGCACCACGCCCATTGTGGCCGATGGCAATCGGTTCTCACTGGAAGAGATCAGATTCATAATTAATAATATAATAATGTCAAATATATAATTATCTTTAAGTCTTATCTTTTATTTTTGAAGGTTATTTTGGTAATAAATGTGTATTGATCATACTGTAAATACTACAAAACAAAACCTCCATGGAACAAATAACGATTTTATATCCTTTTTTTGCCAGCATGGACGTAAAATATGTCTCAAATTACATTTGTATTTATTCCATTAATGAAAGTATAACTTGTATTTTCTGTTTTTGGTCTGAATTACAGAAGGAGCTGTCCAGTGCGCTGACCATCAGAGATGTTTACAGGACAGACCTGGTTGGTCCCATCTACTGCAGAGTGGCAAACAACCTGGAGACAGAGAACAGCGCCCCCTTCAACCTCACCGTCTACATAAAAAAGATGGACACTGCATCTCCACTTCCTGCAGTTTTACAAAAATTAAGCTGGGGTTGGTGCAACAATATCGAGGTTTTTAGTTTGTCCCATCTGTTAACATGGAGGCAGGGGCTTTATGTGCTATACTGCAGCTACCAGGGGGAGATTGAGATGTTCTGACCTCACTTTTGGAGAGCTGTCATGTCGTCTATCTTAATATACGTCGATGGTTTGGACTGTTCAGAACAACTAAGCTGTTTAGAATTAGCAGTGACAGAAACCACAGCTCAACAGACAGAAGAACACAAGCTACAGAAACTCAAACTGCTTCAACAGAACATCCGTATACTAATACAGCTAGTAACTTATTTGCTTCTTAATTTAATCACTAGTAACTTCTTACCCAGGGTGGTAGAGATGTAAAAATACTTTGCACGATTTGATACAATTCACAATACTGGGTTTGCAATATCATTCATCACGATGAATCATCTGTCTGTCACAGGTGAATCAGATAAATGAACCGTATAACGTAGTCAAAATCTGACCAAAGTCAGTTCAAATACCTGCAAAACATTCCCATCAGCCTCAGCTGCACTTTGTTTTTAGGATAAGTTAGCATGCTAACATATTTTCTTTCCAAAGATGGCAAAGCGAAGGCATGACCCGCCCTGCTCTGCCTCTGATTTGTTTACCCTGACATTCTTACCCCAACCTAACCAATCTCACTCCTCATGCCTAAACATAACCAATGAAGCCAAAGAAGGCAACGAGGAGTTGGGTGGGTCATGCCTTCACCATCCTAGGAAAAAGAATTTGGCTTGCAGCACACTAATGATGTGCATCAGAATGGATTTAGAATAAAATAAGTAGGTATGCAGCGTATACCTGCGTGTGCCCTGCACTACAGCACTGGGCCCTACATGAAACTTCATCTGCCAAATACATTTAACCACCATCTTCTGCTTTTTAACTAGCTTCAATTCAATTTCAATTTTATTTGTATAGCGCCAATTCATAACAGAAGTTATCTCAGGACATTTTTCAAATAGAGCAGGTCTAGACCGAACTCTTTAACATTAAGCTTGTGATTGTGGCTGTTCTGAACAGCCATAAATGGATGAGTAGCTGTTTCTCTTCCTCTTATTTATTCTTTTACTTTAGTGGCGTGAGAGTGGCAGACATGACGTGAATGTGAGTGTCTAATGGCTGAAAAAAGAGAGTTGGCAACCCTGTGGTTTGTGCAGTTAGTGGTGAGTTTCAGCACCTCTGTGTTAATGTTCAGTAAAAAGGAAGTGCAGCAGTCTTTCCTGTAAACTCACCAGACAGTTTGTGTTGCTGTCGCATGACAAACTGTATCCTTTTGATATAATTGCAACAGAAGTTTATTCATTCGATATTTGAGTAAAGCTGATTTTAGAACTGGCTGTATACATTTATACTTTTTACTGAAATAAAGTAAGGTAGTTTGACATTCATCATACTTACTTGTAACCTGATGTAAAGTCATTTTTAGTTTCCTTTATACCTGATACTTTTGGATAGACTGTGCTGTATCGTGCTTTACAATCTGATTTTTGACGAATATTAACGTCTTCTTAGGACAATATTAACTGTAAATAGAAATATAGATAAAATGCAAGGTCCAGATGAGAGCAACGCTTTTATTCTGTTGTGAAATCTGAAGTTGCTTCAACTATTTTATTAAGGAGGCTGTTAAACACCAGCCTGCAGCTGTTGGGCTCTTTAAAGAAAACCTTTTAACCCCCCCTGCTGTCCACAACAGGAACAACACTTTAATCTATCTAGAGCAGAACCTCTCTGTCAGGATTTCTTGGTGTCAGTATTGATTATTCTAACAAGCAGTGTTCATGTACAGATACACACCGTGATGGAGGACCTTTTTTAGATTATTTACTGTTAGTAAAAGTACTAATACCACACTGTCAGAATAATCTGATACAAGTAGAAGTGCTGCATTGAAATTGTCCTTAAAGGTCCAGTATGTAACATTTAGGTAAATATATTGTCAGAACTGTAATATAATATTCACAGGTATGTTTTCATTAGTGTTTAATCACCTGAAAATAATAATCTTTGTGTTTTCCGTTACCTTAGAATTAATCGTTTTTATCTACAAAGGTAGCGGGTCACTGGCTTTAGATACGACCTTTCAGGAGTTTCACTGCCACCATAGTTTCTCCGATACTCTTGGAAGGCTGAGCTGTTGTCAGTGCTAGCTCATATTTGTACTTAAGTACAACACTTGAGTTCTTGATGTTATATTCCACCGCTGGGTTCAGGATTGTTTGTCCTTCTATCAGTCAGTCGTTCTCTGGCAACAAATAATTTGATATTTCTAGTATTATTTCTATTTATTTCTCCTCCGTTTTGACCATGAATACACCTATTCTCTCTCTCTAAACCTTCCTTCCCATTCTTCTACTGTGTCTCTCGCCCAGTTAACAATTGGCCTCTGGTTGTGTGTGGTGCTATGATTGCTGTGCTGCTGGCTGGTTATCTGCTGCTCCCCTACAAATGGATAAAAAACAGAATCTTAAGAACTTCACATGGCAGAAATATGGAGGTAACTCCCTTTTACTCTTTCTGTTTCTGTTTTAGTGTCATTGATATCAACTGTAGAAGTAGAAGAAAAGAAAATATAGAGGGTAGAAAAGCCTCAAAATATGCTGATAGATACTCTGCTGTCTCTGTATCAGTGATCATTTTATGTTTAATGTGTGTTTTATTGTTTTTAGTTATCTGTCACCCACAAGAACAGGGCTCCAGTCTCCACAAATGAAGACTCCCTCTACCAGAGCCTAAATCCAGCCAGCAGGGACCAGGACCAGATCTACTCCTCACTCACAAACCCACATGATCCTGTCTGAAGTTCAGTTCAAGTTTAAATGTATGCTGGTTACATAACTGCCTGAAAATCACAAATTGTCAATTTTAACATTTCTGTTTCTGATCATAAACTGATGTGTCCTGTTAATGTTGTATAACTGCATTTGTTATTCAGTAGTCCATTGTTAGTCAATATCAATGACATCTTCTCTCGGGTTGAATAAAGTGTAGTTAAATTTGTGTATTAGAGGTTTCAGTGTATTTTATGTCAATAATAAAACAATCAAACTCAAAACGGCATTTCCTCAAAATTGTATGAGCAACCTCTTCAGCAAATAAAAGCTAGTAGATTTCTTGGAAATGTCATTTCTTCTCTGAACTGCATTCTGTTCCACTCAGTATTTTCATCAGTCTGGAATAACCACCGAGACTCATTCAAACATACATGCAGTTTAACCTGAAGCACAAATGGTAAACTTGAGTTACTTACAAATGAGAATTATTACAGAAATAAACAAAAAATCATCACTGGTAAAAACACTTCAATATCTGCTCTGTCCACTTTCTCTCATCCACCCAGGCAGTGTTTTACTCAGCAAGCTACCTCTGCTAATAGCTAATTGTTAGCAGAGCGTTACCTGCAGACAGACAGCCACATCTGAGGAGGACAGACAACAGGATGATTAACTGATGAACGTCACTCTGTAGTTCGATGTCCGGAATATTATTCATTTATTGACAGTTTAGATTTGTTTACAGTGAGTTTTTATAGTGACTTTGCTGTTGTAAACATTACAGTTGCTCCTCTAAAAACAACATCTAGTCTTATTTAAAATATTAAAGACAACCAGGCCGAACTGTATCGCTGATATGCAGCTCTTCAATATTTGTTTATTCATCGCAACTCATATCGTGTCTGTGCTCATATCTGCCCCTCTGTGTATCCGAGGAAGGTAACGATATCCTGAGACACTGAAATCAAAATACACATATGTGAAGATTAAAATGAAAATGAGATGAAAGTTAATCGTGATACTCTTTTTAAGCAGCAGAGGGCGCTCTCTACTTTTGACTTTTCTTGTTCAACGTCGTACGTCACTCCTGTCAGTATTTGTATGAAGGTGCAAAGACTACAGCTTTACTTTTACAGTGCAAAGGAAATGTGCATTTTTCAGTTTAAAACCAACCTCAGAAATAAAAAAGACTTATTTTTTATTTATTTGATAAATAAAAGAACGTTTTTAACTCATAATTGGTCTTCAGTATCATTTTGTTAATTAATTTGCAATTGCAAATATGAATTGTGGTCAGGTGAACTCCAACGTTTCGACCCTGAACCACAACGTCGTCCAGTTGGCGGGTCAGACGGTAAAACTTAGTCCAAATGAAGTCGCGAGTCATTGGTGTTAAAATCCAAATCCAGTTGCTGGTCATTTTGGATTTTGTGGAGTCTAAACTCATCAAATGTGTGACTCTAGTCCACAGAAAATATGACAATGTTTGTAATTTGTGACATAATCCATTTTATTCCAAAAAATAATAATTTATCTGAATATAGTTGGATTATTTCTAAATCAAACATTGAACAGTGAACACAATAACTGCAGGAAGTTTGTGCTTTGGGGGAAATTCTAGCAGATTATTTCATTTTCATTATATTTTTAGAAAGTTTTTATACAAATGTGTTTCTTTATTATGTATTCTCTTTATTTTCAACCATCATACAGACTTAATAGGCTTCTTTTTTAACAAAATCATGGTTTTCTTCCCCTCGACACTCGGCCATTGTTCTATTAGCTTAGTACTTTTCTAAGACGAGGCTATTTAGCAAAGAGAGAAACATTCAGGACATCAAAGCTTAGATTTTAAGTAATAGTTAAAACTAAAACTAATTATTATTACAATAAATAAAAAAATAAATAATAATTTTATTTAGTTTTCTCCACAGAAATGAACCAAATGCTGAGCTTTATAGTTATACACTTATAGTACATCTAGCTAACTTTTACACTGTTGTATTGCTGTTGTGTTTTTATTGTTTAATCATTTGTGGAGTTGTTTTAGAGTTAAATATAAACTCCACTATGAACCACAGGAAATAGAAATGTGTGTGTGTGTGTGTGTGTGTGTGTGTGTGTCCCTCTAAAAGCAGCAGGTACTGCCGCACTCTGGTCTCTGTCTCTGCTGGAAACACTTGAACCGTACAGGATGGATCTGTTCGCCTTGTTGCTCTTAATGGGTAAGAAGAAATAAACTCTCTCACTGTCTGCTGAAACTGCACATTGAGCTGGGATTTATATTATATATGTATTTTTATTTATGTTTCCATCGTCTGTGTGGGGAAACTTGGTTCTCTGGGTTTTAGATCAAATGTTTTCTCTGAACTGTGACTAACACAGGGTTCAGTGTGAACCCAGATTACCAGGGAAGAGTGTCCAGGAGGACCAACGGAGACCTGACCCCCAAGTCTGCACAGTGATCAATCATGATGTGAAACCCCCCTTTTATACCTTCAAATAATTAATTAAAACCAAACTGATCAGAAAAATTAGCAACTTATTTTTGGAGGGCGGACATTTATTTGATTTGAGTTTGTCCCATCTGCTAACATGGAGGCAGCGGGCTTTATGTGCTATACTGCAGCTACCAGGGGGAGATTGAGATGTATTGAGTTCACTTATGGAGAGCTGTCATGTCGTCTATCTTAATATACGTCGATGGTTTGGACTGTTCAGAACAACTAAGCTGTTTAGAATTAGCAGTGACAGAAACCACAGCTCAACAGACAGAAGAACCAATTGGGCCAAAGAATGCAACGAGGAGTTGGGTGGGTCATGCCTTCGCCATCCTAGGAAAAAGAATTTGGCTTGCAGCACACTAATGATGTGCATCAGAATGGATTTAGAATAACATAAGTAGGTATGCAGCGTATACCTGCGTGTGCCCTGCACTACAGCACTGGGCCCTACATGAAACTTCATCTGCCAAATACATTTAACCACCATCTTCTGCTTTTTAACTAGCTTGTGATTGTGGCTGTTCTGAACAGCTATAAATGGATGAACAGGTGTGCCACCTGTCAGAGTGGCTGTTTCTCTTCCTCTTATTCATACTTACTTGTAACCTTTATACCTCATACTTTTGGATAGACTGTGCTGTATTGTGCTTTACAAACTGATTTTTGACGAATATTAACGTCTTCTTAGGACAATATTAACTGTAAATAGAAATATAGATAAAATGCAAGGTCCAGATGAGAGCAACGCTTTTATTCTGTTGTGAAATCTGAAGTTGCTTCCACTATTTTATTAAGGAGGCTGTTAAACACCAGCCTGCAGCTGTTGGGCTCTTTAGAGAAAACCTTTTAACCCCCCCTGCTGTCCACAACAGGAACAACACTTTAATCTATCTAGAGCAGAACCTCTCTGTCAGGATTTCTTGGTGTCAGTATTGATTATTCTAACAAGCAGTGTTCATGTACAGATAGACACCGTGATGGAGGACCTTTTTTAGATTATTTAATGTTAGTAAAAGTACTAATACCACACTGTCAGAATAATCTGATACAAGTAGAAGTGCTGCATTGAAATTGTCCTTAAAGGTCCAGTATGTAACATTTAGGTAAATATATTGTCAGAACTGTAATATAACATTCACAGGTATGTTTTCATTAGTGTTTAATCACCTGAAAATAATAATCTTTGTGTTTTCCGTTACCTTAGAATTAATCGTTTTTATCTACAAAGGCAGCGGGTCACTGGCTTTAGATACGACCTTTCAGGAGTTTCACTGCCACCATAGTTTCTCTGATACTCTTGGAAGGCTGAGCTGTTGTCAGTGCTAGCTCATATTTGTACTTAAGTACAACACTTGAGTTCTTGATGTTATATTCCACCGCTGGGTTCAGGATTGTTTGTCCTTCTATCAGTCAGTCGTTCTCTGGCAACAAATAATTTGATATTTCTAGTATTATTTCTATTTATTTCTCCTCCGTTTTGACCATGAATACACCTATTCTCTCTCTCTTAACCTTCCTTCCCATTCTTCTACTGTGTCTCTCGCCCAGTTAACAATTGGCCTCTGGTTGTGTGTGGTGCTATGATTGCTGTGCTGCTGGCTGGTTATCTGCTGCTCCTCTACAAATGGATAAAAAACAGAATCTTAAGAACTTCACATGGCAGAAATATGGAGGTAACTCCCTTTTACTCTTTCTGTTTCTTTTTTAGTGTCATTGATATCAACTGTAGAAGTAGAAGAAAAGAAAATATAGAGGGTAGAAAAGCCTCAAAATATGCTGATAGATACTCTGCTGTCTCTGTATCAGTGATCATTTTATGTTTAATGTGTGTTTTATTGTTTTTAGTTATCTGTCACCCACAAGAACAGGGCTCCAGTCTCCACAAATGAAGACTCCCTCTACCAGAGCCTAAATCCAGCCAGCAGGGACCAGGACCAGATCTACTCCTCACTCACAAACCCACATGATCCTGTCTGAAGTTCAGTTCAAGTTTAAATGTATGCTGGTTACATAACTGCCTGAAAATCACAAATTGTCAATTTTAACATGTATGTTTGTGTATGGATTAAACAAACAACATACAGCATATTAATGTTGATCTGAAATTAAATACTGTGTTGAAGAGATATTGCTCCAAGAGCGATAACTGTCTAAAAAACTAAAGAAGAAGGAAAAGAATGAAAGAATAATAAATAATATAAAGATGACATTCATTGCAGAAATCACAATTAGTGTCAAATTATTGGACTTGTTTCCCTAAAACATCATGAAATAAAGTTAATATTAATTATATCATAATTGTTACTATAATATTAATCAAATAAACCGTACAGACATATGAGCTGTATCTACAGTGCTGACCTCTGCCCTGTATCTACAGCGATCACTATTGTAACTTAGGTATTATTGTCAAATGAACTCAGTCACATCTTTATTAACTGTGTCTTTGTACTGCAACTTTGTAAGTTTTGAAAAGTGCTATATAACTAAAGTTTATTATTATAATTACTAACTGGCGAAACACAGTTTGGCTTTTATTACGAGGTATTTGCAGGAAATGTGTTTGTCAGTGAGATTGACACTGACCACTATGATTTATTAAAACTAAGTCTACAAAACACATTTTTTGATTGAGGATGAGTTTGGAGGAAAAGGAATAAGGCCACCAGGTGGCAGCAGTGTCTCACTGAACTACAGGAAGAAATTGGAGGATTCAACTTTTCCACATTTAAGCTGTTTTTTTTTAAGTCAGTTTCTGTTCCAGAAATATTTACACAACAAAGCAGGACTTATTAACTATAACCGGAGATTGAAAAGGTAAGTATAATAGTTTATGTTCTTAAGAATGTGCTGATTTAAGTGATTTTTTAGGCTTTTATGTTTAGTTCAGTTTCTGACACTGGAACAACTGGAAAAACTGGAAATAGTGTCTCTTACTTAATGAAAGTTAATAATCTGTTATGAGTCAGAGATCGATTCAAGTTCATGTTAGCAGCCTATTTGGAAAAATGTTTGAAAATTTGCAAATAAAACAGTTGATTGATTTCTAATGCTACCTTTAGATATTTCAGTTCAGTAATGTTTTTGAGTTTTTTTTCACTTGGGGGTTTTTCCAAGCAAATATATGTGATTGTGATTTAATCATGGGGACTAAGGGTGACCCGGCGTATACATACTTGCATAAAACATATCTTTACAGGAAAAGCTTCTTGTGACGTCTGAGTTGTAATTCTTGGTGGTGTTGTATTTTATTCTCTATATATGTTATAACAGTGTTTTGTACGGTTACTTATATTGTACCTTTTGTTGTTTGTTTGTTTTTATCTCATTTATTTTGCCAAACACTTTGTAACCTTGTTTAGATGAGTGCTATACAAATAAAAATATTATAATCGGCATATATCTCTCTAAGTCTCCATGACACCTTCTGGACACCCCATTCATATATATTCATAGATCCGCCCCTGATCAGTAAAATGCATTGTTTTTGTTTTTGTTTTATATTTACTGTTTATAATGTTTCCATTTGTTGAAACTCTCGAATGACAGTTTGAGTGAAACAGAAACTCCACTCTGAGCTACAAGAATGATTCAATGAAAATGACTCACATCATCATCATAACAGTGACGGGTGTGTGTGTGTGTGTGTGTGTGTGTGTGTGTGAGGCGTAATAAGGGGAGTGTGTGTGTGTGTGTGTGTGTGTGTGTTCACCTTGTCTGGGTGTGTCCCTCTAAAAGCAGCAGGTACTGCCGCACTCTGGTCTCTGTCTCTGCTGGAAACACTTGAACCGTACAGGATGGATCTGTTCGCCTTTAAGACGCTTCTGTTTCTGCTCTCTTTTATTGGTAAGAAGAAATAAACTCTCTCACTGTCTGCTGAAGCTGCACATTGAGCTGGGATTTATATCATTTATGTATTTTTATTGATGTTACTGCGTTTCTACCGTCTGTGTGGGGAAACCTGGTTCTCTGTCGTTCAGATCAAATGTTTTCTCTGAACCAGAGTTAAGTATAAGTGTCGGATACTTTATGACTTTATGATTCAGGTAGTTTTATAATGTTGCAGTTCTGTTGAGGTCTGACTTTGTCCCTTCCTGCCCCTCAGGATGCTGTGCTGGGACTGACATCCTACCGACTGGTCCCGTGGACGCGATTTTGGGGAGAAATGTGACTCTAAAGACCCTGCTTGACAAACCAGAGTTCTCCTTTCTGGTCTGGAATTTCAACGGCGGGACTGAGGCAGTTAATGTTGTCACCGTGACTAAAACTGCGCTGAAAGTGAACCCAGATTACCAGGGAAGAGTGTCGGTTAACCGGACCAACGGATACCTGACCCTGGCGTCCCTGAAGGCGGATGATAGTGGAGATTATAGCCTCACCTTGACAACAGAAACGGCTGATACTACAACCGGAGAGATAAAGCTCAGAGTTCTGGGTGAGTCATTTCTTTACACTTACTTATACACCTGCCAATGTGTCTTTATTGAAGATCTTTTTTTCAAACTAAGATTATATCTCGGCCGAATTGAACAGTGTGTATTCAGAAAACAGTTTTAATGACACATCTGGATGCTTGCACTGTCTCTGTGGACCACTGTCGCGTTAAAGTGCCTGCTTTAATAATGTTGTTCGGTCTACGGGTCCTTTCAAAGGACATGCGGGTGTTTTTATGACATCACTTTTATTAATATAAATGCTTATTGGACTGTATAGGCGCCGAGTTGACCGCCGGATCCTACTGATCCAGAAAAGGTGCTTCAGCGTGTGTTTTTGTGCTCTGAACGTCTCTCTGAAGCAATCACAGCTACAATTACTAGGATTTGTAACGCAGTTTGGTTCAGTTCGGAAGCGCCAGCCACACCTGTGTAGAGCCACGGAGTGCAGATATCCCTGCGCCACCATAAAATCTTAAGTGAGCAGTTTAGGCGTCGCTTAGCAACCACACAGAGTAGCCGCCACTCGAGGACTATATTCCCCGGCGGAGGAAAATAGTTTCCACTTTTCTCCATTAGTTTAAGCATATGTTGAACATTTGAGCTGTATGCCTCATTCGGCGTGGTGCCAAATAAGCTTTTATTGTGAAATGGCTGTACATTAAGTGCCTTTAGTGAGTCCAGTAATTCATCCAGCATTTTTTTTCCTGTTCATCAAGTTGCGGCTTTATAACCTGATTCGATCGAGAAAGCAACAGGAAAAAGCAGGAAGAGCAGCAGCTTCTTGCACTGTACTACTTAAGGGTGTGGCTCCTGATACTGTACCTCCCTGGTTGAGTGAGTGTGTGTGTGTTTAGGTTCAGATGGGGGGGAGGGGGGGTGTGCTAATCCTGTTGACACGCTCCTTTATGCTTCATGTTTCATGCTGTTTTCAATAATACTGGTGAGACTTTACAGCCGTCAGACACTGTGGAAATGTTGCTTCAAAGCTTTGTGTGTGCGGGTTTTTGTTACCTGTTGGGGACCTTGTCTGGACACTGACCTTGTCGGGACCAGAAGTCCTTGTGGGGACGTTGTTAGGGTTCAGGTTACGGTGTGAATTGAAGGTTAAAGTTAAGGTCAGTGTTAGGCTGTCCATGATGAATGAAATCAAAGGAATGTCCCAACAAGAATATTTGTGCAAACTTGTGTGAGTATGTGTGTGTGGCCTGACTTAGACTATATTTGGGAGCATATTTCAAACTAAAGATCAGTTATTTGGGCACATATCGGTGTCCCGATTAGGTTAAGGGTGAGTCTCCAGGAAGTGGATGTAAGTGTATGTAATGACATAAGTAAGTTTTGCTGCACATTTCCTGCTTATCTTTGCTTTATTTATTCATCAGTCACTAAACGAGACCCTTAAAGGTTCAGTCTGTAGGATTTAAGGCCATAAAGTGGTGTAGTTGCAGATCCCTAACATCACCCAGGAGAACCTATGGTTGAACTGAATGTTAGAAAAATGCCCCTATCTAGAGCCAGTGTTTGATTTGTTTCTTTTGGTCTACTGTAGAAATATGGCGCCCTCAATTACAAGCTACCTGCGGCTTTAGTTAATGTTCCTGTATTCAGGTGACTGTACACTAATAAATAGATAGTTATGCATATTATATTCATTTTCTGCTATTAGATCCTCCTGAATGTTACACAGTGGAGCTTTACTAGAAGATGGGACTATATATGTCTCTTTCATCTTTTAACCAGCTTCAAAATGTGGTTGTCTCTTCAACATAGATTAGCCTAGCACGTAGTATATCTAAGTACAGGAAAGGAGGAAGTTGATCAAGTCGTGCTCAACTGTTATTGGAGCACTGAGCAAAAAGGGGCGGGACTTATGACGAGTCAAATGATTAATCAGCTTGTCCAACCAGGGTTATTTCAACTAAATGATATCAGTTTGAATCTTTATTTATCAAAGGATGGTTGGCAGTGGAGCCTGCATGCGTTTTCCCAGAATTCCTTCTGACTCATTCATATAGTTACCCTCATTTCCTCACATCGACCCGTAAAACCACACACTTAACAAACACTCAGAACAAAACCTCCACTGTCTTTATGTTTGTTTTTTTTAGTCTCTTCCTTTTGCACCAGAGTGGATCTCTGCAGGGAAATTTAGTTTCTAAAAATCCTCAAAGTATTTGAAGTTCATGGATGTGTGTTTCTCCGCTGTCGGAACTGGTTACCACTCCTTCATATTGTTCCCACACACCTACTGTTGCCTAATCATCAATAAACAACACGCACATTTAGAAATGGAGCTCCGGGATTATTGAGAACGAGTCCAGCAGGTCTAGTCACTGCGATTTCTCTGACATCTTCATTCACTCCATTCAAATGTTGATTTTAGAGCACAATTACGACTGTGTGAAGAGAAATCGGCCCCAGGCGAGCGCGTTGTTGAATCGTCCACCTCCACATTTAATCATACTGACATTAACCGCTCATTTGTAGGAGGATTTCATCAACAAAACTACTGATTACTTTAATCTCAATGGAAAGATCCACCCTGAAATACTTGGACAGTCCTCCAAATTTGACGTTTGGCAGTTTAGTTGGTTTCTTCTGCTGTAACTGACTAAATGTAGACAGGATGGCGGGACTTTTTTTGGGTGCACAGTGTGTTTCTGGCATGAACAAATAAAAGCCTGTTGCTAATAAAAGCTGGATAAAAAATATGGTTCGTAATTCAGCGTAATGTCTACTGCATTAGTTCAATCTGCAAAACAGTAGCATTTCTTCATGACACTACTGTCAACAAAGCTCAACACTTTTTGTACATATTTCACAGGTGTTTGAGCTGCTGCTAATGTGAAAAATATCTGTGCAGGAAGTGATGAGTTTCATTGACAGTGATTGGAAAAAACCACAAAGTAGAACCAACTACTGTCAAATCTGTTGTTGCACTGATGGAAAACATAAGGAGTTTATCAAAGACAGCAGTAAACATTGAGGGTGTGTTGAGTTTTTATTAACAAAATAAAAGCAGGAACAGATCAGAAAACTAAAATATGATGGAAAATATTCTTTCAAAAACTGGGAAAACTGTTGATATCTTTTTATTTACTGGCTGTATCTCACTGAGCCCCCTCCTTTTCTCTGATAATTTTTTTCTCCCACATTCAAATCAGTTAATGAAACAGTTCATTCATTTGTTCCTCATGCAAAACAACCTTACACTTCTTCTTCCTGCAGAGCCAGTGTCTGGTGTGGTCATCAAGTCCAGCGTGCCAGAGGCAATCGAGAAGAAAGACACCGTGGTTCTGACCTGCTCCGCCAAAGGCTCCTTCCTCAAGTTCACCTGGCTCAACGGTACCACGCCCATCGTGGTCGACGGCAATCGGCTGTCAGTGGAAGGGGTCAGATTTAAAAAAAAATAATGTTTGCTGTAAAGGCTGCAACTAACAACTAATGACTTTTCAAACTCAATAGATTGATCGTTTGGTCCATAAAATGTCCAACAGGGATGTCGTCAAAGGTCCAGTGTGTAAAATTTTGTTCAGGATCTATTGTCAGAAATAATATCCATAGGTATGTTTTCATTAGTGTATAATCACCTGAATATCCTCTTCTACAAGGCGGACTCTGCCATGTAGAAGAGGACCTGAAGAGGCTGCAGACCCCTGCGTTAATGAAAGTATAACTGATGTATTTTCTGTTTTTCGACTGAATTACAGAAGGAGCTGTCCAGTGCGCTGACCATCAGAAATGTTTACAGGACAGACCTGGTTGGTCCCATCTACTGCAGAGTGGCAAACAACCTGGAGACGGAGAACAGCGCCCCCTTCAACCTCACCGTCTACTGTAAGTACTGCAACCACGCTGCTCTTCCCACACAGGAAGTTACGGGTTTGGACTAAAACTAAATAAAACTTAGAGACTTAAAAACTACAAAACTATAATATAATATATTGTTACACTCCTACTGGGCAGTGCCTGTATAATGTTATATTTAATGTAATTACGCCCACATTGTTTGCTTGACAGCTGGAGTCTCTTTAAAAGACTAATCCGCCGATTTATCATTCCTATGACATTCATTACAGTCCACTAAAGAAAAGGATAATAATTAATGCAGCAGAACCAGAAATATTGTCTTTTTCATTCCACCAGAGCCATCCATTCTGATGGCAGTTAAACAGTTTCTCCATTCATTTATTTACTCTACTCATTGTTTGAAACCCTGTGTTTCACTGAATGAGCTCCACACCTGTTGGACAACAAAGGTCAGACGTGAGTCAGTCGCTGTCACTCCTTCACACCCCAGCAGGTCATTTGTTAGCGATAGTTTCACTGTTTTTTTTTACTCTGAATCACACTGATGTCTGACCTTTGACAGATTTACTGGTTATGACTTTAAACCTCGTCAGATTCCTAAAACGCTATAACTGGGTGTCTTGTGACTCCTGCAGTTTAGATTGTGGCGTGTGTTTGCAGGGCTCTCCCTCTCTCTCAGCTTGTACTAAAACCACACTATGTACATAGCAGCCCGCACTTCCACTCCTTCCCCATGACTAACCTGAAAGGCAGTGAAACCGCACCGACCGCTGGTTAACCCTGTTATTAATTAATCTAAACCCTCACTGCCTCAGCTCAGGAGCTGTGTTTAATGTGGTCTGGCTTCATGTTAAAGTCATATTTAGGGACCGTGAGCAGCTACAACATGAAGATGTGCATGAAAATGCCTTTTTACAACATTTTGCATCTTTAGAAGTAACTTTTTTTTGTCATAATAAATTAGAACTTAACATTTAGCTAAATGTAAGTATTTAATCTGACTTGGTATCAGCACACACAAAATGATTTAAAGGTTATATATTTGAAATTCACTTGCCACTAAATGTCGAGCACAAGCATCTCTGACAGAACAATGGACACTACAAGCAACCAGACTCCATTGACATAACCAGTAATTATACTTAGCAGATAATCATAAAACCCCATTGAAAGTGGACGGAACCTTTGTTTGTCTTTCCAACAATCACCAACTCTGGTTTGGTTGAAATAAATCCTTAATTCACTGACGTAGATGATAAAAACAGCAGTTTCATTTGTGAGACAAAAACAGTTGATGAGAAGTTGTAGTGTAGTAAAAACAGAAACCAACAGCCGATAGATTATCTGACAATCGTGGCAACCATTTATTTATTTCCACAGACGGACCAGAGGCTGTCACCATCACTCCTTCGAAGACTCCCCTGGTCCTCAAATCCGGCACCAACTTCAGCCTGACCTGTTCGGCCGTCTCCAGCCCACCCGCCACATTCACCTGGTACCACAACAATACGATTATGGAGATCGGAGGTCCCCTACTGACTCTGGAAAAGATCAAAGAACATGGATTGGGGGACAAAGAGGAACCCTACATGTGCAAGGCTGAAAACACCAAAACCAAAGGCACTGTCGCTTCTTCTGCTGTTTCCATTCGTGTGATGGGTGAGTAACCGGACTCAGCTCTCTGAGGATTTGAGGTTTAAGTCGTAACATGTAGCGTGATGCCAGATGTTGTTTCTTTACAGCCAATCAATGAACCGTATAACGTAGTAAGACAGAAGCCATCGAGAAAAGCCTTCAGTGTCGTTCTTTGCTAATTTTTTAATGAATAAATACTCTTCATTTCTCATTTAACTGATCTACGCTAACCTCGTTAGCAGCCACCATTGTTGTTTTAGAGCAAACATCTCACAGAGACCTAGCGTTAATCCATGCCCATAGCTCAGAGAGTAGCTACCAGTAGTTCCTCAGAAGATGCTGATTGGTCTGCACCACTGTGGCAGTTCCTCTAACGGCCACTAGAGGCTGGCTCCAGGAGTGAGTCACTCTCCATAAGGCCCAATATTAAAATGTTTAAGTTTACAGCAGAAATAAACATGTTTGCAGCCTGGTAAAAACAACAGTTTTGGACTCTGGAGCTAATTTGCCCTTTCATAAGCCTCAGCTGCACTTTGTGTTTAGCAATATGCTAACATTTTGAACTAACAGTGAACACGGTAAACTGTCACTGAGAATGAGGCAGAAGTTCACTGGGATTCCACCAACAGACAGCTGGAAAAAAGGCAGACTGAAACCTTTTCTTGTCTCGGTCACATACCTTGGAGGCACGAGACTGTTGAATGGTATGTAGAGACCCACAGCAGAAACATGTCAAAGTTTTTGCTTTTGAGGTGTTGAAAATTTGTGTAACCCAGCAAAAGTTCAACATGAACTTGTGCTGTCTGTAATTACCACCAAGGAATTCCTCTTCTTGTATTTGGAGGATGCTGTTTTGAAGTTGGCGACAAACTATTTGTGTGTGTGTGTGTGTGTGTGTGTGTGTGTGTGTGTGTGTGTGTGTGTGTGTGTGTGTGTGTGTGTGTGTGTGTGTGTGTGTGTGTGTGTGTGAAACCTGCTGGGTTGGAGGATGGTCTTACATTACGCCCTGAAGAGTTTCTGTGTTTTTTTTCCGGATGATAAGAGAGCAGAGGAATTTGCATGAAAAAGGAAACATTTTATTTTGGTGACAGTAGAGTATGTGGTGACCTACATTATAGCAGGAAATGGGGGGTGGGAATTTTTTGGGAATCACAAAGTTTGCTCAATTTCAACTTTCTGTAGGAATTGGGTATTATTTTTTATGTTAGTATTTGATATATTTCATAGGACTTTAAAGAAAATCTTATGTTAACATGTTTTGGTCCCTGGTATTTAAGCAAGTAGAGTATTATATTTATATATTTCTGCAGAGTCTGTCAGTAGAAGTTATATAATATATAATAAGAGCTCAATTTAAAGAGAGTACACCTTTAAAACTATGCAGTGGTCTGTGTTTGTGCCGTGTTGTTTTCTGTGATAGATGAAATAGCATCCAGGAAGTCTAATTTGAGTAACAGACAAATGCAAAGAGTGTGAACGTTTATCAGATGAGGAAACACGGAGTTGTAATACTACGAGACTTTCACAACTCTGGAAAGGTTTTATGGTGACAATCATTTTATTGTCGGTTGTAACAATCACAGGGCAACTGGAGGAAGTTTGAAAGACTTTGGGGTTTAACAGGATTAAGAACACTATCCAGTTGCATGATGGGAAATGTAGGATCCAGTGTTTTTGAGTGTTTTAAGATATCAACACTTTTCAACTCTCTTTCCATTTTTCCAAGCAATCGAATGAAATCAAAGATAAAAATGAACATATAGTAGTAAAATATATATAATACAAATAAACCCTCTCTCTCTCTCTCTCTCCCATTGATGTTTACAGAGGGCATCTCAGGTGTTACAGTCACCGGTCCGAAGGCTGTCCTTATCGCTGACAACAGCACGGCCAACATCAGCTGCCAGGCAGCAGCTGGCGTAGTGGAGAAGAGGTCCTGGATGAAAGACGGCAAGCCTCTAGCTGCCAGTGCCCGTGTGGTGTTTTCCAGTGACCAGAGCTCCGTGATGATCAACCCGGTGCAGAAAGAGGACAACGGAGAGTACAAGTGTGAGCTCAGCAACCACGTCAGCACGGCCCAAAACTCCTACAAGATGGTGGTCAACTGTGAGTGTTTGGTTAAGAACATGTGGTGGATGTCAGGTTTTATGGTTTTACATCAGGTTTTTCCTAGCAGAGATTTATTTTTATAGCACTTTTATGACCAGACCTCAGTCAGATGTCCATAAAAATGCTTTCAAATTCACATAAACTGCGTATATATACCCATGTTATAATAATTATTAGGTAAACAGACTGATATGAGTTGACTCTGATATACTACATGTGGATATTGTCAAATGTTATCAACTGTAAGTCTAGTTATTGTACATTTTGCATGTACAGTACAAAGGAGAGTTGAAGTGTTAAATCTGTATAGAAATGTAAAAACTACTATTTCTTGACATTAAACCCAAATAATAAACCTCTCCGTTTTAACTCCAGACGGTCCCGAAGCAGCGATGGTGAAGGGTGAAGAGAAGGTCGAAGTGAATGAAGAAGTGACGCTCACATGCTCTGCCGTCTCCGTCCCTCCCGCCAACTTCACCTGGAAGTTCAACGGAACAGCGACCAATGTCAAAGGGCCCACGTATGTCATCCCAGGGGCTGCTTACAAAAACAGCGGAACGTACACATGCGAGGCGAACAACGTTGTCACCGGCAAGACCACCATGCACACCCACACGCTGTCCGTCAATGGTAAGATCCATGTTCAGATAGGATACCTCTAAAACTGACTGAATTCCTGTCAAACCTGTCAAGTGTGACATTGTAGATGTCCTAAATTGGCCACCATACAGAGGATAAACTTCTTTGATTTGGCTAACTTGTTCTTGCTAATGTTAGCATGCTACAATGCATAATGTTACTGTGTTTATTGTTAAATTAAACTTTTTATTTCTGTTTTATATATTATTTATTCAGTTTTATTTTCATTCTTACGAGCAGCAGCATAGGCGTTCCTCTTTTCTCATCCTGATTATCTCATGTTGGAATGTGACTTTTCATTTCCGTTAAGTCTTTAAAATGCCTGTCGTATATGTACAGTATCAGAGTCAGTTATCACTTTCACAGAAGTTACTCACCAGTCTGCCACCCACAATCTAGACTCACATCTTCATTTCCTCACTGTGGTTTCTGCTCAGAGACATGAAGCTGTGTTTGAACATTACAGCAGTCAACACACAGTGTTGACAGTAAATATAAAATATAAATTACAGTAGCTTTAAAAAGATGCTGTTTTTGTTTATTTACAGATGTCTGTCAGAATATTATACGTCCGTATTTTCATTATGATCATGATTTTGAATTAAGTGTATTTACATTGACACACATTAATTCCCTCTCAGCAGGAGATCAAGATTATAAATCTTATTGTTGATTTTACAGCAGAGGGAACATTGGACGGTCTCTCAGACGGAGCCATCGCTGGAATCGTCATCGCCGTCCTCGTCGCTCTCGGTGCCGCCATCGGCTTAATCATCTACTGCAGGCAGAAAGTACCGTAAGTGCCCCCTCTAAAGTCATAATCTGGGCCATGAAGTCAGGGCTGTGCCTGGGTGACGGACTTGAGACAATGAGAACTGTGGTTTTAACTCGAGTTCTCACAGCAATCAGGTTTTGATGTGCAGGGGAAACTGGGGGTGTGGGTTGCCAAACTAGTTTCAGTGTGGTTAGGGTTAGGGTCATGAGAAAGCAGAGTAAAGTGAGAAAACTAAAGGGTCTAGTATGCTCAAAACCAACTAGTTTGTAGGACATATTGTCTTTTGTCCAACTGTGCACACTTCCAAAAAATCTCTCGTGGAAGACTTTTGGTGTGTCCCACTCGGTTAAATCTTACTGTGATAAAAATGATTACAGATTTTGCATTGTATTTGTGTCAGGGTCAGTAGACATTGCTGCTGGCTTTGCAGAAGCAACATCACACAAAAATTTTAGACAATTTCTAGACAGAGATTGTTGTTACTTGAGTTGGAGAACAGAAGGTGTTAAATGTTGTACAGATTGTAAAGCCCCTTGAGTCAAATTACAAGTAATTTTGGGCTATACAAATAAAATTTAACTTGCCGTGAGGCAAGTAAATAATGAACTGCATAAAAGCCTTTCCTGGGAAGGTTTTCCTCCAGATTTAGGCCTCTGAATTTGGGTGATCAGGCCTGGCTCACAGTCAGTGCGAGGTCAAGGCTCTGTGTAGACCATGCTATCAAACTAGGGAGGCTGGGGAAATGTCTTTTTTGAGCTTTGTCGTGTTGAAACAGGAAAGAGACACAAACTGTTGATACAAAGTTGGAAGAACAGTAAGATATCAGTTTTCCCTTCACTGGAGCTAACAGACTTAACCCAAACCTAAAATGGACCCTAGTCTGTCCACATACTTTTGGCCAAGGAGAGAAAGGAGTGTTATTAGTGCTTTGGTTGTTTATACATTTCATAGCAGCCTTTTGTCACTGAAACAGGAAATATTTCTGCATTTCTTTACAGTTTTTCCAGTAGTTTCTTCACGCTGTGATTTCATGCTTCAGTGTTAAAATGTCTGTCAGTACAGGGCAGATATGTGTGTGTCTGTGTGTGTTTATCTGACCCTCCGTGTTGGAGTCTGCGTGTTTCTGTAGCATATCTGTCAGTTTGTGCGTCTGTATGTATCTCATGTCTGCCACTTCCTGACCTTCTAGGAAATTCTTTTCATTCCTCTCACGCCTTGGCGTCTTGCAACATGTTAGACTAATGTACACACACAAATGCACTCTGTGTAGGGCTGCCACACCCTGCTGCACTGTTGCAACAGTAACTGTCATCTAACTGTTTGTGTCTCGTTGCTGCACTGGCAGATCTTTACTTTAAGAGTTCAAAATGAGGCAAAAGCAACTGGGAGAAGCTGGAGTTGACAAAACCATCTCACGTGGGCCATTTAGTAGTTGTCCTGTAGCTTTTGATCATATCCTGTAATCTTCATCAGCAGATTAGTGTCCCAATGAGTTCAACTCAGACTGTTTGAGGGAACTGATTAAACCGTTTAAGTTTATAAACTCAAGAAATGTAGTTCATTTAGTTCATTGCAGCAATTCCATTCAGTTAATAGAACTTAAAACCAGTAAGTCTTTACACTTTGGGGATAATAATATTCAAGCACTTTGGATCTCCCGGTCAAAAAGATGCTATATAAATAAAGCTTTACTTACTTACTTACTAATTATTTAATTGTTAAGTTACTTCTTTTATTAAGATATGCTTTTTTACAGTGTCGATGTCAGTTGTTCAGTATTCCTTATTTTTTCTCTGTACTTGAAGGACTTTTCGACTATGTTGGCTTAAAAGCTGAGGTGTAACATTCTTGTCTGAGGAAACGGCTGCATCAACTATGAACTTTGTAGATTCATTTTGTCCAAGAAGAGCTGTAGATGTACTCAAACTGCAACATGTCCTAAGTTTTGATCTGGTAAAATCCGGGAACTATAAACTGTGACAGGAGGATCTTGTATAGACACATAGATTAAGAGTTCTGAAAGAACTTGAACATTAGACTCAGAAGTAGCGGTTGCAGTCACATGAAGCAACAGAGTGTGACGAGCTAGGCAGATTGAATCCTTTCACACCTGAACGACATTCTTCCCAAACAACGGCAGGGGCGGTGATGCAATCCTCTGCCACATCCTGTCAGATTTCAGCATATAGGAACCTGCCGTCCTGAAACAAGGAACAAACAGATGAGTCAGTGACAAACTCCGACAGGCCGAAACATTCCTGAGTTTGGCAATTTGAAACCAATAGTTTGCAGCTCCGACACACACGTTTGTTTTAGCAGTTTGTCGGCTCGTGTCGCAGGACATTTAAATCCACCGGTAGTGCTTTCCCTTCTCCTTCACTGTCCTTTCTTATTGGCAATCAGCGGCTCCGGAGCCCCTCTCAGGTGGCTCGCTGTTACTTTTTTTACGTTTTCATTCATAATGTTTTTGTAGGACTAAAGTGATTCTTACATTCAGTCATGCAGTCCAGACCTCACCTTTGCTCTATATTTTGCTCATTTGCGGTGGTTACTAGTCTTGAGTCTCCTTAGCTAGAGAATTTAATGGAGATACCAATTCCGATACCTTAACTTAGCATATCGGCTGATTCTGGGTCTGATACATGTGCATTAATTAATAAATATATATATATTATTATTTTAGCTACTACTAAGATATGATTGCTATCATTGTTGTATGTCCTGGCTCAGGTTAAACTTTTTTGTCAGAGGTGAAGTTGGGCGGGGCATGACTTCACTATCCTGGGTAAAAAATGGAGAAGGGGACTCTGTTGGGGATTAGCAGGGCCGTTACAGAGCTAATAAATGATGGCATCGGTGCACAGATATTGTACTTGAATGTCTTTGAAAACATCCTGGAAGATTGTTTGTAAAAACAGATAAACCCTTTTTGCCTGTGGGTGTGAGCTTTTAACTCTTCTCCTTTGACCAAATGCTCCCCTCCCCCCTCCTCCGACTTCTTCTTTAACAAACTCTGCCGTCAGTCAGCCGGAGCGCTGGAGGAGAACGGATGGTCACGTGATGCCACAGGGGTTATCAGGTGTCAGGTAGAGGAGTTTTCGGCTGTAGAGCGCCTCTTGTAGCCTCGGGGATGATTGACTTGTCTGTCCCTCCGTCATTTTAACTTCATCGCTGTTAGAAGGAGGAAACACTGATGACAGCAGGCCTTTGTTCTGCGGCGGGCCTCCATGTTGGAGGAGGTCTAAGGTGAAGGATCCAGACTCTCTGTGTTTTTGACAACAACTTCAGGCCACCTGTAGAGACAGTAAACTAACACAGCAGAGCTTTTTTTGTGTAGCTGAAAGTGGAATAAGTGAGTGGAAGACAAACTCAAAGAAGTCAGTCAAAGAGATGGAAAGACAAGGAAGGCAGGACTTTAATTATAACCTTCAGCCATCTCCAGACATTGAGATGTTCCTGTGTGATAACCTGCAGACATTGTAAAGAGAAGCCATTAAGGGCGTTGACAGCACGGCGATGTCAGCTGGTGACAAGCAGACGTACAGGTTCGGTAAAGGCCCAGCGTACTTTACGCACTATGAGCTGTGCAGTTATTGAAAAATAACACACTACATTGAGGCGGTTTACATTACATCACATTAATTTGATGCTTTCAACCTCCAACCCGTCAGCAGTAATTTGGGGTTGAGTGTCTTCCTCAAGGACTCCACATGGACCAGAGGAGGCAGGGATTGAACCACCAGCAATGACTGACTGAGTGGGTTATTTTTCGTAACTGCACAGTTCAGAGTAGACTATCCTGTTTATATCACGGCCACTTGACCTTGTTTACTCATCTTTGGAGGGAGTGTTCTCATCAACCTGAGAACAAACGCTAATCCTTTAGGGAGAAGCTGATCTGGAAGCCTTCCAGCTAAAGTTTTTCAAATAAAAACGCCATTTAAAGAAAAATGACCTCACTGCACAACAATGTCCTTGTCCTGAAGGTCTCAAACCGGTTCTCTTCAGCTTACAATAACACACACACACACCTGTTGTAGGGGGGCCGTGGGAGAGGGGAAAGGACATGTGTTCGGAAATCAACATAAAGATCTCGTCCTCTGATAATCAAACAGGAGCCCGTATGAGCTTGCCACCTGCCCCAAAAATGCCAATCCACATCTGAGAAAACCTACTGCAGTTTAGGAAGGGATTTAACCGATAACATCAGTATCAAAAGGCTCTAAAAAGCCCCTCAAAACCTGACTTTTGTTTCCAGTTTAAAAGGATGTGCTGAGTTGGCCTGAAATGGGCCATAATCTGTGTATCATTTGTTCTTTTCATAGTCAATATAGAATAAAAATATTTTTTATTGGGTTATCAATGCTTACGTACTTAGGCTGCTGACTTTTGTGTATTTTACAATTTTTTTTCTGATTTTGTAATACATACTGAATACGAAAATAACGAATGATACATGCATGGATCGACCGAGGGCATCCGACTGCCTCGGAGACGGTTGTGGTGGCGTCAGATGGGTCTGTGTGTCTGTTTGGCCGATGGGCAGGGCTTAGCTGCACACACACTGACAGCGACAGGACACTTCGACTGCATTTACACAAGAGCCGGAAATGTGTCTCGTCCTGCAGGGGTGTGTGGAGGTGTGGCCGGGTTTGTTTGTGCTTCAGGACGTAACTGCTAGGATGGCAAGATACACCTCACCCGCACACACAAACTACACGAGCTAACGGTTGCAGGAAACAGCGTATCATCACCGGTTATCCCAAGTTCTGAGCTCGTATATCTGCAGGCAGTCTGCTCAACATGTCGATTAAAAACTAAACATGAAGTGAAGAAAATATAACATGAACACACGAGGAAGTAGTCAACATCGTTAGGTCTTCAGTTCTGCTTCTGGTTTAGGTTCCGTTGCCCACAGTCCACACACACACACACACTACTCTGCTTGAACATGGCCTTGTCACCCAGGATTAAGTCTGTGTGAGTTTCGGTATTTTGAAAACACAGTCTGACTGCATTCCTTCGCTCTCTGCTGTCAGTCACAGGCGGACCCAGCCTCAGTCATTGTGTGTGGGTGGGGGGATATTTATTCTTCAACTCTCAGGTAAATTGATTCTCTCACCTGCTGCTTTCAGTCGTATCTCATGGTCTTCATTCAGAAAATGGCTCCGGTGTTATGTCATCCAGGTATTGGATTACAGTCACATGATAGCAGGTTGTATGTGGGCGGAGACGGTAACTGTCTCTGTATAAAGATGAACACTGACTCCTGTTGGATGACCTTTGACTTTGTCCCAGTGGATGCTGGTTCTGGTTCTGGTTCTGGTGTTCACAGACAGTCTGTTTCCAGTCCTCATTCAGTCTCCTGGAATCTTATACATCCTGATATATTTAGGTTTGTTGCACATGAACTGAGTCAAATTTGAATCTAAATCCAAATCCAAAGCTCATAAGTGGATTTTGAGGTAACAGTTGTTTGTAAAAGACTTTTTAAGATTTTTTTTTACTTTTTTCTGACTTTGCAGATGCAAAAATGAAGACATAGATTTAAGGTAGGATGACTACAATATCTAACACAATACACACACTGTAAAACCTGATGAGTTAGTTAAACTGCCTTAAACTGTTTAAATCTAGTAACTCCAACAATTTAATCATGAAAACATATTTGATTTGAGTATAAGGTAATAATTTATTGTTAAGGTAAATTAAGTTAAGTTGTACTTTAAACTAGTTTATTAAACTCATTGCTCCAAACTTATTTATGATCTGTAGACAAAATGTATCTATATAAAGTTACTTAAATGCATTTTGTTTATACAAATGTTGAAACTTAAATTGAATTTACTTTAATTTATTGATTATCAAAATGGTAGCCGATTGATTTTAATTAATTAAACTTTTTTTGTAATGATATAAAGTCAATGTAAAGAAAACGAGTCAATGGAACAAACTAAAACTATATCACCAAAACCTAAAATACTGCACACATTTAAATGAACTTATAACAACAGAGTTATTACTTCAACTGTTTATTTTTTAGTTTAATTAATGGGATTGAGTGACTCAAATTATTAAAATATGCTGTTAGGATTTCCATTTGTTGTGTACTTCCATTACAACAACAACCAGTTCAACAGTAAAATATGTTTTTGAAACTTGAAGAAGTATAATTATATATAACTGTAACATAACAAGCAGAAACATATCTCTGCTGCTCTCATCCTCAAATGTATTGTGTGAAAAGTTTCAGCAGTTTGTTGGAGACATTTGCTTGTTTGTAGCTGGAGGGGAATCAGCCTGTTGGGCTCCTCGAGGGGTCATATTACCCAGAGTTCATACATTTATACATTAAGCACAAACTTTGAATTTGATCTTGAAGAAAAACAAATGACAGAAAAACAAGCCTGTAATTTACTGGATGTATTCAGTCTGCGGTCGCTTTGTAATCTGATAAATTGACTCTGGAGATAAAAGCTTTATTTTGAAATAATTACAGAGAACTGCTGAATATAACATGGCTGCTGTGTCGCCACCAGTATGGGCATTATCGTGTTTTCATAAATCTTTTAAAACCAGTTAAATGAACTGGGAAACGCTTGGGCACTAATTTACAATACAAGCTTTTCTTTTGGAGACCAATCAGTTCAAACTCCTTCCTCTGTCTCCTCCTCTTCATGCTGCTTAGAAAAACAAGCTGCCAACTGGGAAAACCCGTTCACGTCACACCCCTTGGTCATAATTACATGTTGGATATTTAGGAATTTTTTAGCTGGCTCTACATCTGCCACCCAGTTTTATTAGCTCCAGAACTGCATCAGCAGATGACAAAAATGCCACCAAATGGCTTTCATCCACAGTAATGCAATCAGATTTACTTATGCAATGTGACCAACGCTGGCTGAAGATTGTTTTTGGTTGATTTATGTTTAAGAAATGAAAATGTTTTTGGTGTTTTAACTGGTTAAATGTGAGAACGGCTGCAGCAGTTTCCCCATAGACTTCCATTATAATGGTTGTTGACTAGACACCTTAAACTGCAAACAAGGTTAATTATTACTCTTTTTATTATGAATTTTGAGGTTTTATAAAACAAGCATGACCTCATCCTCATATAAAGTCAGTGGGTGGAGCCAGTTGGGGAAACCCTAATGAGCATGTGCAGTGAAACACGGAAGTTCCGTTTTTTGGCTTCTGCGCTCAGCGAGTGCCTGGGCTCCATATTTGAGTCCGTTAAGTTTCAGTTAACTTTGCACAGAAACAACTAGTAAAAATGTCTTTCAGAGAAACTGAGAAAGTACTTTTATACTTTGAGTACATATCAGATATTTTCTTTTTAAATGTGACACAAAAGCTAATTTCACTCTCGACCTCTGAAGCATCTTTTAAAAGCCCTTGGTCGTGGCCTCAGTTGTGTCTCTGAGAATGAACTGACCTTTGTTTCTAACGGGAGTCTTTTGCTCGTGGCGAGGGCGAGGCCTGCGTTACGGAGAATGGCAGGAATGTCACTGTCATGTCTGCACTCGTCTTCCTCAGCTCACGTTTGTGTCGCTGCTCGTTATCTCTCTTCAAGTCTCCTGTTTCCATTTTATTTCTCTCACCTGTTTTTCTCCATAATCAACCCCAAGTAATTATTTCCTCTGTCACTTCTTTCCAACGCTGGACCGAAGAACAAGTACAAAAGTGTATTTATTTCATCTGTGCCCTTTTTAAAAAAAAAGTGCTTTCAGGAGTCAGTGGAGCGCTTTAAAGAATATAAAAGAGGAATGAGAAAGGGATTTAAAATGTGCACGATCACAAAGACTGTGGTTAAAAAATCTGTAACGATTAGAGAAAGACTTTATAACTCTTGGAAGAAGAAATAACTTATTCTTCATTGTACAAAAGTTTATTTAGTAAGCAATAAAACCTTTGTTCTATTTAACACACCCAGAAGTTTGTCTGCATATGAGCAAACTTTATGGCACTAAGACTGTACTTGTTAGTGTGTTTATGCGTAATACACATATAATATTATGCAAATGTACGTTTGTGATTGTAATTAAGGCTCTGACGATTTCTTTCCATTTTTGCTTCTACAACTTCATGAATTTCTGCTTTTTTCTGGAGAAAACAAGATATTTGAATTATAATTTGATTAAAAGATCGCATTTTAATGCCAAATGAAAGGACAAAGAAACTCTTTTACACCAAAACCAAACATTAATGTTGCAATAAAGTTACACTTCTGCGCACTTAAATCATCAAAATTGAGTTAAATTTCAAAACATCTTCAGAGAACTGGGAGGAATTCTTGTTGATAGATACAATAAACAATTTAGACATTTTGGAAGTTTTAAAAGGCTGCAAGGGCCCAAACAGGAGGAGGAGAGCCATCACCAAGATCAACAGAATGGCAGCTACTGTACATTTTTATCTCCTAACAGACAAACAAACACACACGACGGAGTCTGTTAGATGTCCCTTTGCTGCCGCTGTGTAAACTCTTTAAAACTGTTTAAATGACAAATGGCTTCAGGGCTCAGGTCACCTCTCTAACCATTGACCTCTTTGTTATTTATCTCATTATGTTGTTTGTGAACTTTCTTTTCTCTTCCTCGGATGTTGTGTCTGCTGCTGCTTTTATCAGGGGCTGAAAAATGTATCACAGTTTCTGTGATAAGATTCAGTGATTCAACAAAAAGGTATTTTCACAGCCGATGTTGACTCTGCAGTCGCTCCCTGACTCGCTCAATACTCCTCCGAGGTTTCATGAACATTAATATTGCCGAGCAGGTTAAATATTGTGCAACAGTTTCATTAAAGTTGAATACACTGTAAAAAAATGTGATCAACACTGTAAATAAGTGTAAAAAAAGTTATTTTTAACTCCAATGTTTTGGATATAATCCGTTTGAATTATTTAGTAAGTAAAACAAACTCAATTATGTAAGTTAAAAAACGTCCCTGATTAAGTACTTTTTACTTCCAGCTCTGTCTTCATACTTGTAGTCCTTTTACCTTCTTCCTCTGTGGGTTCAACCTCCAAACAGAGGAGGTTGAACACAGTGTGTGTGTGTGTGTGTGTGTGTGTGTGTGTGTGTGTGTGTGTGTGTGTGTGATGTGATTACATCATCCTGAAAGTGTGTAATGAATGAAGTAATGATCCTGTCGATGAATGACACTGAAAATCACAACAATTTTTGTAATTTTCACTTTCTCCTGTAATTTCATTGCGAGGGTTTTTCTAAAGCTGCGTTAAGCTTCAACAATCCCAAACAAAACATCCTTAAAGGAACTGAAATATTGAGGATGAAGATTATCATCCAACCCTTAGTACCCGGGCCTCAGAAAGCGTTCCTCTGTTCCCCTCATGGGATAATGTGTGACAGCCCTGATTTCGTCTCCACAGAGAAAACAACACATACATTTCGTCATAGTTTTTTGTTATCAGAGATGTATTTTTAGTTCATGGAAGTCACTGACGAACATTTCTTGTCATAGTTTTCATTAACGAACTGTTCCACAGTAGAAGATATAAAATCAGCAGAGACACGGTGCTGGTTTACGCTCCTTTTAATAATCACAGGTCGAAATATTTTATCTCTTATCTCAGTTTGAACGCAACTCTTCACATTCGCTTACATTTAATCTGGTTTATTCTCAGTGTTCGTCACCTAAACACGTCTGATACCACAGACTGTGTGAAGACCGAAGGTCGTCATCTGCTCTTCTAATTGCTGTTTTTTTCTGTCCTCAGGGTCGAGTCACCGTACTAAAGAAGTTCCTGCATGCTGCTGGTGAGTCTCTCTGAACTCTTTATAATGAGCAGATAAAAGCAGGTTGACAGACAGACAGGCAGACAGACAGACAGACAGACAGACAGACAGACAATGTGACTAAATGTGAACACATGATTCAATAAGTTAGAATGAAGTCAGGGACCATCGGTAAAGTGAACGACTGATTATGTCGTGATGTCCCTGAAGGAGCTGATGTTGTGTGAGTGTGTGAGTGTGTGTGTGTGTGTGTGTGTGTGTGCATGAGTGTGTGTGTGTGTGTGTGTGTGAGGGCTGTCCATGTTGAAACAGTAGCTACCAAGGCTGTCTCCACTTGGTCCAGAAAACAAAGCCTTGTATGTGTGTCTTTGAGATAAGACTGTTGATTTAAAGTGCTCACATGGAGTCTTGTGTGTGTGTGTGTGTGTGTGTGTGTGTGTGTGTGTGTGTGTGTGTGTGTGTGTGTCTGAGCCCTGCAGCTTTTCAGGTGTTTTTAAGGAAATGTGTGTATTTTGTCTTTGATCCACCGACACCAGATGACAGATGAGACTGAAACTAGTCAATAAAACAACAGAAGTCAGTTTAAGAAACACAGAACAGTTTGAAGTTCAGTAAACACAGTCAATATATTAACGCTGTATAAACTACTGACAGTTTACATAATGAACACAGCAAGCGTCTTAAACCTGCATTCTTCCCAATGGCCAGCAGGGGGCAGCTCCATTGGCTGCAATTAAAGACTGATAGTATTGAGTCTTATGGAGAAATGAGTCGACTTCTCAGTTGATTTATTCCCTCAGTAAACAGTTTCCTGATGAGTTTCTGGTCTCAGTCTCTAGTTTCAGTCTTCTTCCATACAGCATGATGTTCATTTAGTAACTGATGGTCCCATTTAGAGTAAAACAGACCATAAAGCAGGGTATGCTTTAGGGCGGGGCTACCTTGTGATTGACAGCTCATTCTCAGTCTCAAAATGAGATGATTTTTATAATTAATTATGATTTGCCAAAAAGAAAAGTCAAACATTTTCTGCTTGTAGTTGGACTTATATATATATATTGAAGTCTTGCTTTTAAAGGTCCAGTTTGTAGGATTTATCCAGTAGTGTAATTGCAACTCCCTTGCTTCACCCTTCCCTTCCAATCATTTAGATTATCCTTACAGACAGGAAGTCCTGTGTCCAATAAAAATATAATATATATAATATAATAGAGAAATAAAAAGAACAGAAAGACTAACACTGTCTTCTTCTTCCTCTCTTCAGCAATTGCCGGCCCAAACATCCAACCATTTTGTTTCCCATGATCCATCTGTGCAGCCAGGAGGAGCATCCAGTTGGATCCAGCTGGTTTCCTGTGAAGCCTGAACCAGCTTCCCCATCATCCCTCTCTCTCTCTCTCTCTCTCTCTCTCTCTCTCTCTCTGGCTGACGAGGACAACTTGATTCAACCCAAACATCGGATTCTATCAGTTTGGATTATTAGCTGGAATCTTCTCATCTTTTTACGTTTTCTTGAGCTTTTTTCACCTTCCAACCGCCACCGGTTCATCACCTCCCTCTCCTCTTCCACCGGCTGTCAACAAACGCCACCTTTCACATTTGGTCTTTTTGGCTTTGCCGCTTCCTTCGGGAAACTAAACACACCAAGAAACTCTGTGCGATCAGAGACGTTCCTGGACTGAGGCGGACGGACTGGCGGTTACGATGAGTGAGACTCTTTATCCGGCTGGAAACCTGAGGAGGAAACACACACACTCACACACACACACACACACACACACTGTGATGCTTGGCTGAGGCCACACACGTCGACATTCAGGACTCTGGGTAAAAATAATATCTGTGGTTTGATTTATCTCACCTTCTGTGCCAGGTGGGTGGAGACGGGGTGGGTGGGGGTTTTCTCTGTACCTGACGGCGTTATCGGAGGACAGTTTGAGCCAAAATACCTCAGTTTCTCCGGTGCTCACAATTTGTTAGAAACACGTTGAGTTTCCTCTCCCGTCCAGCTGCTTTCCCGCACTGAGCTTCAATCTTAAACCATCTTAACCAAAACAGGATTAATTAAAGGTTTTTAATGAGTTATTTTTACCATTATTTTGTATCACTGCCCTTTTTAAAGTGCCAGATTGTGGCATCATTAAGTACAATGCAAAGCAAGATGTCCTAATATAAGGATAACAACAGAAATAATAAACTATAATAATAATTTTATTTATATAGGGCCAAAAGAAAGTGCAAAGTTACAAAGTGCTATATAAAATAAGATTAAAACAAAAATAATGTATTTTATTTATGATAAATAGATTTTAAAGTTAGTAAAACTTTAAAGCAGGGTCCCAATTAGAGGCAGGTCTCCTTTACTAGCCTGGTCTGGATTTTAAAGTTCTTTCAATGAATAAAACCTCTTAAATCCCACCAAGTCGCCCAGAGCTCTACACAAATATTCATTTTAGGGAAACTATGAGCACAAAGTATAATTAATTCAGATTTATCCGAGGTATCTGTAACTGTGCTCTAAGAAACTTTTTTATTAGTTTCATCCACTAGAAACCAGTTTATTTTGTGTAAGTTTATTTTCCAACTGTATAATATCAGCTCAGTACGAATCAACATCACTGTTCTTTCCAAAAGGAGTATTAAAAAAGTATATTTTTATCAGTTTCCATCAGGCTGTAATATCTGAGATACACACAACTCTCTCCTTCCGTAACCTTTGCTGTGATCCTGATTTCTTCCCGCCGTTTTCCTCTGCGGTTTCTTTACGGTCCAGGATCCTCTTCAGCGTTTGTTTCTGTACAAATGCATTAGAGTAGAAAGAGGCGGAGGTCAGATGTTTAAGGCGGCACGGACAAGATTCAACACGCGGAGGGAAGACAGAAAAAAAAGAGCGGGAAGGTGTTTGTTGGCGGCGACTTACTTTGAGTTTTGGAGGGAAAGTTTGGTGAGCTTCAGGGCGTTGCTACTGAGTCTTTTTAAACCACAATTGAATAGAAGTTGTTTTAAACTAAATTATAGTTTTCACGGGTTAATAACACGCCAGATTTTCATCTGGAAACAAAACCGCTTTTTGTATTTTTTGAAGTTCAGATGTCTTTTCTGGGTGTTTTTTGCCGTCAAACATCAGATCATTACTTCAGTTTGAGCTGATTCTGTTTGTGATCTCAGACTCCAACATGCACTGATCTCCAGTGAGAAAAGTATTTATTTTGTTTAGAAAAAAAAAAGCCTTGATAGCTGGAACTGAAGATCATAGCCGGTCTGCAGGTCACACATTAAAAATCTCATTAACTTGTTGTTGTGTTTTTTCACTTTGTGCGTTTTCACCCTGAACTCAGCGGTTGAAGTCAAACAACATGTCGTTTTCAACACGTTTCTGTCTCCAGTTTGAGACACAAACAGCTCCGAATGTATCCATAACAACACACAGTGTCCTCAACGAGACGCATGTTCGAAACCGACTCAAACAGCCTGAAAGAGAAACTGCCCTCATTGTAAATAATAGAAACAAACACACTGTAAACATTTGTTTTGTGAGGGTATGTGGGGTTTTTATTGCTTATCTAATTTTTGTTTGTTTTGTTGATGTTTACAGAAACTCTTCCTTCTCCTGTAAAATAAAAAAAGATAAAAGAAATCAAATCCATGTCCAATTTAACATCCTTGTAAAGCCATAAAAGTTGTGGAAATATTTTCCTAATTTTGCCTCGTTTGTTGTGTTTTTATTTATTTACTTTCCACCGAGATTGACAGCCAATCAGAGTCTGTGCAGCTTCAAACCGTCCAATCACAGAAAGTCGTCCAACAGTTTAAAAGAAAACCTGTGTGTTCTGCAGGAGTCGAGGGCGTGGAGAGGTGATGAAAGTCAGTAGATATTACACACACACACACACACACACACACACATCCGTCTCAACATGTCATCTCATCTCAGTTTCAGCCTTCTTTTTAAAGCCACAAACTGATGGACAGATCTCTTTGTACAGAAATAAGCAGTTAGAAGGAGGATTTTATTGTTCTCTGATGCTGTTGAAGGTTTTTATGGTTTTAATACGTTATTGTGTTGGTGAATTAGAAAAGAGCAAGTTGCAGTACAAACATTTATTTGCTCCATCAGGCAAACGGTTCATAATGAGAGATCTTAAAGAGGGAGTGGCTACACAGCTGCAAACAATCATTCCCCACATGCAGTAGGAAGACACCAGGGACATCTATGGAGGCTGTCACATGGTCTACTGAAGGTCTAATTAGCCAACAGCGTGCGCCCATCCCACTGACTGTGTGTTGGTACGCTGTATGCCTGTGGGTCGGCTCAACCTCCTGATAAACCGAGAACACGCCATCGTGCTTTCATCCTTGTAGTCAGAAACATACAGATTATATAACAAATATACACAGTACAGCCTGTTTCTCTGTATTTAAAGATTAGATTATTATTTCAGATCTAAACTTTGAAGATCTGCACACAGATTATATTCACAGAGCCTCTGATAAACAGCCTCATCCTGCTTTAGAAAACAACCAAAGAGCGAACGCTGAATGTCAAAAAGCTCATTAAGTTTTATGATTGTTAGAAATGATAAAAGTTGTATAAAATAAATAGTTCCACAAACTTTCTGCAGTTATTGAGTAAGTTGTTATTATTGAATGTATTAGAGTAATAGAGTCAGTGGACGCTGTCTGTTTGTTCGAACCCTGTAACGTTTATAACAAAGAAATGTGTCCAGTAAACGGGAATAAATGCACAAACATGGTCGTATCCAAGGTGGAGATACGTTTGCAAATGAACAGATAATATGATACAGATCTGGATATTTCCATAAATTTGGACACCTTTAGATCTCTCCGGGTAGATAGAGGTGCTTTTTGTTCAGTTCTATGTTGAAAATATATAAACAAATACCATTAAAGTCTTCTGGGCTGTGCTACAACATTAACACTCAACTTTACACAAAGTGACGTAAAAGCGTCTGCGATAGAAAATCTGCTTCATAATCCTCCAATAAATCCTGCTGTTTGGGTTTTATGTCAGCATGCTGAGCTCTTTTACAGCATCTTGAGTTTCCACTTCTTATTATTAAATGATGTATTTGTGTCGTTCAGTGTCGTTCAGTGGAGCTCGGCCTCCACGGGAACGGCAGCGTCGTTGTGTAACAGCTGAAGATGTTTCCTCGTGTTTGTGTTGAGCTCAGCGAACGTCAGTGAAACTCAGGATCACTGGGAAATGTCAGCGATGCGTTTGAGGTTCGCCTCAGCGGGACTGTCCTGTGAAAATGAGTTCTGTGGTTTCTGTAAACACACAACAGAGCGGCCGCACTTACTCACACACACACACACACACACACACACACACACACACACACACCCAAAAATAACACTCACAATAACACACAAAAAAAACACACAAAGAAACAAACAACTTCCACCAACAGGACAGTAAATACTGGTTAGTAACACACAGAAAAATACATATTTTGAACTTAAAGTCTCTTCTTTCATCTTTCATTCACTTTTTGTATATTTTACTCAGTTTATCTTCTTAAATACAAATAAATCATACCTAACCTGACCCCACATACCTAAACCGCTACCGCTCCCCGTTGCCCTTATAGCCACAGTAATGACGTTCCTGTAGAGGCTTCTGCTAATATATATATTTATATAAATATGTATATAAAACATAAATATAATTCAAAAGAAATAGAACAATGTGCAGGTTTGAAGATCCCCTTTATAAATATAATCATACAATAAACAGACAAAAACAAAGATGGTGTAATACAATATTAATAGAAAAGTGATTTATTTTACCAGATGAAATAAATTATATTGAAATCTTTGCTTATTAAAGACCTTTTGATGTTTATATATAGATAATGTAGATATTGATTGTAGTGATTATTGATTAACGTCCTTACAGAGGAAAATCTAAAGATATTCTGGAAGTCGCTCAGCAAGTCACGCCTTACTGTTACTTACATGAACACATAAGTGTGATATATGTTCACATTAACCAACAACTGCAGTTCCTCACTCGAAGCTGGTCTGTCCATAAGACCCCATTATCCGGCCTACGCTCACTACCAGAGCATCACTCAGCCCGTCCTATTGTTCCACCTGCTCCTTTACCATGTTATCTGCTGTCGGATCAAACGCACATTCACAACCCTCACGACAACCTCCCCACACCCAACCTCGCAGGGTTAAACAATGAGGGCATTTGCATCCACCCTGCTGCCCTCTGGGCGCACACACAGAGCGCCGCGGTGCAGAAGAGCTCGCTTTGGGAAGGCTAACCCAGAAATACAACCGGCTTTATAACGTCGGGGTCTGCGTCTTCCAATCACAGCGAGAGCGTTTCAGAGCGTTTCAATCCACGACAACAACATGAATCTAATATAAAGATATTATGTGTTTGATTTGTACAATGTGGGGAGAAACTGAACAAACATCCTCACACGCAAACGTCTCGCTGAAACGTGACCTTTGACCTGCTGCCAGGTGTCAGTGAATTCAGTGCGACTTTGAGTCTTTCAGCCACGTAAATCCAGCTGATAACAGTCAATCAGTGGATTAACTGTCAGCTTTATTCTCCTCACGTCCGTCAACCCGAGAGCACAATAGAGCTCCACTACACCTGCACACACACGCCGAACAGCCCTCATATGACTCTGAGATCATGTAACGAATATTAGTTGTGAGGGTTATTTTTCCATCAGGGTGAATTTCGGCTTCTCAAAGCAGATTTTCTGACTGGAGGCGGTAAGGTGTGTCGCTGGCTCCGCCTCCGTCCGTCGCTGCTGGGTGAGTGTTTTCTGAGGAAGTTCAGAAGAGTGCCTGTTTACTGTTTACTGCAACAGAAACTTACTTCACTGTCAGCGAAGCAAAAGTAAAAGCAGCTCGTAACCGGATGAAATGCTGCTGATAACGATGAAGATGATGATGATGACGATGATGATGATGATGATGATAACAGTTTGTTATCAGATTAAGTCTGAAATAGTTCTTTCATCAGAGCAGCTCCACCACATCTCAGAAAACACAAGATATGAGATAAGAAGCAAAACTGCTCCTGAACCAGTCTGAAGAAGATTCTGTAATATGAAGCTACAGCCTGTTAGCGTAGCTTAGCATAAAGACTGGAAAGCAGCCAGTTAGCCTCTTGTAACAGCTCCTCCCCCTCTGCTAATTTTAAAAATGCATCAGAGACCCGCAAAGGACGGAGACTTTAGGGGGCGTGGCCTCCACACCAATGTGCCAAAGTATAACAATAGCTCACAAACCTCTTTAAACAAACAGACAACCTTCAGTTCCAAAGTGTTAATGAGTGAAGGAGTGAGCTGTGAGTCACCTGCTGTACTTCCTACTGTAGTTCAAATGTTTGTCCAATGAGAGGAGGAAGAGAGGAGGAGGAGGAGGAGGAGGAAGAGCTCTCAGTAAATCAGAAGTTAAAGTTTCAGACTCAAGTGAGTCAAAGACATAAAGAGACTCTACACGAAAGTCACTTCAGTTCAAATCCTCCTCAAATAAACCTCAAGTGTGTGTGTGTGTGTGTGTGTGTGTGTGTGTGTGTGTGTGTGTGTGTGTGTGTGTGTGTGTGTGTGTGTGTGTGTTGAATCAGGTGTATCTGACGGGACTGAACACGCCCGCTGCATTTAGTCAGGAATGTTTGTTCCTCCTCTTCAAGTCAACTCTGAATCAGGCAGGGAGGAAGGAGGGGGCGGGGTTAAACGGGAACCCCCCCCCCCCCCCCCCCCCCCCACCAGCCTCCATTTTCAGTTCCTCAGAAAGTTCATGTTTGTGATTGTCAAATATCTCATCTTATCTCATCTTATATCTCTTCACGCTCAACACGTTGAACAAATATCCTCAGACATTCCCATCAGCCCAACGTTGTGTTTACTGCTAGCGTTAGCATGCTAACTGTGATGTTGAACATGGTGAATATTAAATATTGAAATATTTAATCTAATATCTAAAATAATATTTAATAAAAATACAATTAATGTCCGACAGAATTACTCTGGCAGTTGAAGGAGTAAATGAAAGGGGATTTACTTTTGAATCTTTTAGGTAGTGACTTTATAATCTGTCCTGGTTTCACTCTTTCATTTAAAGGTGCTGTACACAGTTTCCAGACTAGATGTCGCCGTAGAGCTCCAGGCAGCACTCATTTTACCTCCAGGATCTTTCAAACTCAACAGAAACTTAATAAAACCGTCTTTGTTGGTCTCTCTAACCAACGATCACCAACTCTGGTTTGGTGGAAATAAATCCTGGATTCACTAGTTGCAGCAGCTGCACATAGAGAGGGAAACACACACACACACACACACACACACACACAGTGTATATTCACATAGCTAACAGTTGTTTGTTTTCTGCTGTATTAATGTTGATTCACGGTTCTTCGGCTGGTACAGTGGATTGTATCTGCTTCACGAGTCAGTTTGAACACTTTAATACTTTTACACTCTGATAAAAGTAACAATAAACAGATTTTATCATCTGAACGCCCCCTGGTGGTGAGTGAGTGTGAAGACGGTGTGAGTGAAGCTGTCCTGTGTTTGCTGTTGTTTGCTGTACACCATTAAAGTATAAATGTGTTACATGATGTAAAGTACTGAGTGTGATCCTTTGAGTGTGTGACAGCGAGCAGTGTGGGCCTGTAGCAGCAGGTTACACACTACCTGTGTGTGT